TGATATAAGTATAATAAACAATATTCGTTACCTAATTTATTAATTCAATAATGTATTTCTTGTTGGAAAACTTTTACTTTATTGCAAGGCACGTGGTGGCATTACATATATAAAAATTGATTTTAGATTGAAAAAATGTACGACATAGGCAGGACTTGAATCCGCATTACAGCGTTTCGTGTTGTTGCTCGATTTTTAATTTATTTCTTGTCTTTTTAATTACAGAAAACCTATTTCAATCAATAGTTTTATAATTGTTGTAACGAGGGCTTTAGTTATAAACTATTTTTTTATGAAAACAACAGTGCTAATGCCACTTATGTCGATGATCCTCGGAGACTGTCTGCGGTGAGCAAAATGACGCGAGCTGCCCGCATAAGGAGGGCGGTGATTTGCATGCGGCAACGGACGCTTGACGACACGATGACAGCACCGATAACTTTAATTTATTGCCCTGACGCTCATGTAAGTATATACATATTATGCTGTTTATTCTGATTTCCAAAATTGTGGAAAAATATCCATTGTTTTCCTTACTTCCTTCGAAGGAGACATTTATTTAGCTAGATGGGCGCTGATTATCTTCACTTATTTTTTACTTAATACTCTTTTTATTTATGGCGCATTTTAAAGAAAGTTATATATTTCCTATTAACATTTTCGTTGATTGAACATCTTTGTCCTTTGAACGTCTTCAGAATAGAGGTATATGATTTTCATAGTCGACAAAATTTTGACATTTATTTATTTTTAATTAAAAAAGGAGGTTTCATGTCTATCTGTAGGTATGCTTTTATAGTCACACCTTACGAAAGAGCTTTGAAATCAATTATTATCGGCAATAAAATTAGAGATAAAGAACCAATTTTGTGTTCACGCAATTAAACACCCCATCAAATACTATCTAATTTATACTAAAAATTGCAATTAAGATAAAAAGTTCAATAAATAGTATCGTTTTCGGAATAAAATTTTACGCGAACGGAAATAATAAATCTTTCTCGGAAGGTATCTTTCAATTCTTGGAAAACAATGCTTTAAGCGAATTGGGCTATAAAACAAATAAAGCGCCTATTACTAGACTTGTGTTTTAATTGCGCGGACGCACCTGGGTCGTGCAGGTGAGTTACATTTGGGGTCAACCGTGGTATTTTTGACATGGTCGCGATGCGCTGTAGGATTGTGGGAAATTGCCCATTGCCGCGTCGCAATGTAATTAACGCACTCATTTAGCCGGCGACGAATTTAGGACACGGCTGATATTTATTACAAATTTTTGGTGAGGCCCATGTGTGTGCCCCCTCCCCCCCCCCCAACGTTTGTTTGTTTGATAATTACTTAATATAACTATTGGAACCAGAAACAAAAGCAACTAGAGCTAATAAATGTCCTAGATTTATTCTACTGTATTCCGGGTGGAAATTTGTGAACTGTATTTTATGTTGTTTAAAACTATAATTATTTATAAGAATAATAAATTTATTCCAGAGAGCTTACAGTTACTTGAACAATAAACAAGGCATGAATAAAAATGATTAATCAGTAGTTTCTCTAGAGTTTTTAGTTAATAAAATACTTCAATTAAATAAATATAAACTCGCAATAAATATCAATACTACCTTCCGGATAGGTATAAAATAGTAATAAAATCACACTAAAATCTATTGAATTAGGTTACAATTCAAAATAAAAGAAATCACTTACAACATTCATTTATTCATATTTCACTTTAATGTATCACGTCATCTGTTGAGGGATATAAAGCACGCCAAGCTTGTAAACGCATCCGCGAATTACATATTTTTACGTTATAGATCTAAACATTTTCAATGTACCTCACGAAACAATTTTATAATTAAAACAACAATGACAAAACTTCTTAAAGTTAAGCCAAATCTGAATCGACAAAATAGTATTGTATAAAGTGAATTTTGGCGGGAAATTAAAACTTCGTACTATCGCCAAGAAGCCAGATTATATTCAGATTTTTTATATATTCCAGAGACAACAGAGATTTACTCTGTTCGGTTAATAGACAATATTGCTGAGATCGTTCAAAGGTTATTTTAAAATTAGAATGTTAATATTGTTTGATGTTATACTGAGATCAAAAGCACCGTGGATTAACTTACTTAATAGTAGGTAAATAAAAACGTATTGTTGACATGTTGCATTTAATAAAAGTATGATTAACTGTTTAAAACCTTGCTATGGCGGCTATCCTAAGGCAAAATGACTAAAATATCTACATGTAGTGAACTTTTTTTTATTCAAAACTTGAACCATAGCCGCACCAAGAGGCGAGCCGAACTTAGCCTAAAAATAAAAATAAAAATGGTAACTATAAATAAACGGTTGTTTTAAAAATTACGAATATTTTAGTCAAATAAATACAAGCGACTTTAAGACTAAAGTTAGAATATCAAATTAGATGTTTATGTTGTATTATATTCAATTTAAGCGCGCAAAAAGGCACTTGTATGTATAAAGACTAAAATAATGCGGAAAAACTCGATGTGAATTGATGTAAAACCCCTGTAATGTAACTAAAAAAATAAAAATATTCAAACAACCTATAAAAAATAACTCGCAATTACTCGATTATTACAAAACAACCTTGTCGCACACGAACCACCGTCACGAGTCCTTCCTTTAGTTTACATACATTTTTGTTTTGCCTTTTTTACTACACAGGAAAAGCGTCGGGTTCACTTCACCATAGGTGACATGTCCCTGTCCTATACCTTGAAGGAAATTGAACCTACACTCCGTCGGTTATTAGCCACACATTAGTACTGGACCAACGAGCCCGATTATGTATAGACTATAGAAATATGGTGGTGAAGGTTTTTTGTCTATGGTCGGTGGCTCCTATGCAGGGCTACTAAGATTTGACACTGCATGCTGTGTCCTAACTAAACCATACGAACTAAAATTATTAACATTAAGCTGATCAAGGTGGGTGGTATTATTGTTTGAAACAACAAATTTATTCCCTAAACACCAATTGGTTGAAGAAACGTTAAATTTCACAATTTCAATAAACAATTAATTATATAATAATCAATAAATTATACAGATCCCATATATTTTTCTAAGACGTGAAGAGTATGTAAACAGTGACCGACGTAATGATTTGAATAAAACATGTATATATCGATAGTAGTGCAGTGAAATACTATGTGATACAATTGAACAACCTATATATTTACATAATTGCTATTAGATACAGGTGAGAGCTAAATAAACCTTCCAAATGCATTACTTCTCTATAACAGGTTTAATTTTAGTTTAATTATAGGAAAACTAACATTTTTGATACGTATCCTTTACAAGCTATAAAGAAAATATCGGATCGGTATTTTAATAAGTTATCATATGTATGTCGCGTTTTAATCAGTTAAGTTCCATGACAAAATTTTGTGAAACCCACAAAATCTATTAAATATTGAAATTAATTGAATGGAAGCAGTATGTAGTTGTGTTCACGTTAAAAATCAATCAATATAAGCAATGGTATTTAAATATAAAATTGTAAAGGTACAGTTCGTTACAGCTTTGATTATTTCCGCTTCTATTAAGATAACTATTAATCACCTGATCGGGATTTCCGAAGCAAACCTTGACGGCATTAATCACGATTGTTACAGAATCGATTGCTTGGTCCAATAATAATACAGCAAGCGTTCTTATATACATATTACCTACATATGTCGTATTTAACAATTTAAAAAATATAGCGCGATCCTAATCGCTCAATTAAACTAAGCAATTAATACGAACCCTGTTTATTTCAGCCCGCTTTCGTGCATTAAATCTATAACAATGAACACTAAGGAAACATACTATATTTGCAAATCGCGAGGATTTCTAAGCCTAAGAGATATGAAATAGTACCATTTTTCAAAAAACAAAATTGTTAATATTTACTACAACTTAAAACTATTGAATATACGTAAGATAGGAACTGGGTAAATGTTTAGTGTGGGAAAGCGACAGCCTTGTATTTTGTTTTTTTTTTTATGACCAAGTACAGACAATCAGGAGGATCACTCGATGCAAATACCATATAACATTCCAAAGAATTGAATATTCGGAAATCCACAGACTAAAACCGAACGGTGTGAGAAAACTGTCGTCTTAAGTGCATGTAATCTGAATTGCTACAATTCTCTACCCCCCTTAATTCCGTCGGGGGACAAATAAAACCTAACTCATCTGCCCTCAATTCGATAGTGCAACTGTTTATGCAAAATTGAAACTAAATTGGACCAAGGAATCACATTGTCCCAATGTTTTCTTCCTTTTCATCCCTGCTTGGATACGATTTCGGAATCCTATCTTATCGTATGCCTACATAATAACCACAAAATTTGAAGACATTTCGATCAGCTGTTTAGGCTTCATCCGTGAGTCTATCAATCAAGATAAAGCATGTTTTATATGGTCTATTAACGATAAATTGGTATACAACAATTTTCTATAAATATCATCAAGAAATAGGCAATAAAGATTATGAGACATAATGGCGATAAGTATACGTTTGCACGTGTATCACGAGACAAGCTAGTACAAAACTAAGTGAAAAAGTCAGTACACGCAGAAGTTAACCAATACATTTCGCGTTTTAAACCGTTAAAAATGTTAAATTTAAAAGTTGCGTGATTTTACAACACAACTAGTTATTATATTCAAATGCAGTTTAAACAATTTCTATGTTTTTTTGGTCCAAATAAATATTATTCTTTCGGGTACTATCTACACTCTAAGTGAAACATTAAAAGTTTTTAATATGAGTAGAAACCTTTAACTCTCAGGTATGTAGACGACCTGTATATACAACCTAATATCATGCATAACATTATACAATAGGCATCAAATATGCTGACTACGCAAGAATTCAGAAAAATCGTATAAGTAAGTAAGTAATCGTAGATCAGTAGCATAACAGCAGAACCCGTTACAATCAGTTAAGACATCCTTAACCAAAGTAGTCGTGTCTATTTGTGTACTAGTGACGTAAGTCTTCTTACTCCAGACTTGGTTGTGGGGCCCTTTGACTTTTTGCTTTGCTCCTTCACGCCTCTGAAATGAACAAAGTCCACAGAGATTGAGTATCTTATACATTAATGTAGTAGTATTTCACGAGCTCGGAGCTGTTATGGCGGCAATGTACGGCTAATAATCCACCAGGTCCAACATTTTTCTAATCAAGTTACAATTTTTCTGAAACATTGGACTTGATCTGGAAATCTGGATATTTAATGGGTGGTAGGAATATCCAAATTCCGTCCGGATCACGGACCATTGCACACAAATAAAAAAGCCGTGAAGTTTAATAATTTCAGTCTGTGGATTTCCGAATCACGCGCATCTTGTTTGGGGTATTTCACCCACTATCAAGTGAACTTTACGCTTGTCCGTTCTCCTCTATAATTAATTAAATATATAGATTCAAAGTGCCGGCTTACAAACGAAACACTTACAAGTATCGCGTTAGATCTTCAATGTCGACGAGCATCGAATCTTGTCCCATATGCAGTTCGTCACGCGCCATTAGTAATTTCACCAAGGTGTCGTTTAGGCCTTCTATCTGAGAGTGCAGCTCGTTGACTATCACCTGAAAAACAAAATATATAATTAGAACCGCTAGAGGCTGAGAGGTCTAACTGCAATTTTATGACTTCGATGTCTATCGGGGATTTTATAATCAATTTATAATTTTTCAGAAACAACAACAGGGCTTCGTCTGGAAATCTGATTATTACTGGTTCGTAGGAATATCGAAATTTCGTCCGGGTCCACTGTCCAGAGATAAAAAAGTCATTAAGTTTGATGCATTTATAAATGTGGATATTTGGGATTCCACAGACTGCAAATAGGTCGACAGGTTAGATTTTATTTGGTTTGGGTATTTCAAGGGAACCCCTTGCTAACTTCTAACTCTAAAATATAAAAATTAATAATATAATAAGCAAACAACAAAAAACAAAAAGACAAAGTTTATGGTTAATAGTCAACCAAAAATCGATATGACGAAAGCATTAAATTTAACTGAACGTAACAAAAAAAACAATGGTCATTGTTTTGAAGATACGACCAAGCGTGACTTGGTAAACGTAAGAAACGACGCAAGGTCAGGCAATAGCGCAATAAAATTACGAATAACTTCAAAATACGTTTATTTATTTGCTTGAAGTGGCCTTTAACAAGGAAAATATTCAACGATTGTATTGGTATTTAAATCAAATCATTCCAGTAATTCTTTTAGTTGGAATTACTATAATATTCAGGCGTCGATCGTGGGTTCGAGTCTTGCCTGGGTCTGATATTTATCTGTGTGAGAGCCATGCTAAAGTCCCGGTAGATTTATGTATGTGCTGATGTATAACCGACCCTCAAAAATATTTCCATAAGTGTCATCTGGTAAAATGGAATTGACTAGTCACTCTAATAGGAGGCCCAAAACCTAACATTGGCTATTTTATATGATATCTATACTAATATTATAAGGCTGTAGAGTTTGTTTGAACTTGAATTAAAAAAGTGGAAAATGATTCATCTTTGTGATACGCAAAATATCTATACAAAAGAATGATTCCCCCTTAAACAATCTAAAAAAATGTCCGCACAATGTCTACCTTTTTTGACACGGACTACGTCGTGGGTAACAGCTAAAGTTTATAAAAATGAGATGATTTTGAAACTAATTTTGATGCCTAAAACTTGCATTCTACGTGGACGAAGTCGCAGCTATTATATTATAAATGAAGATTCACCTGCAGCTGAGCTATATTCATATCCGTAAGTATTTGACGAGAGACACGGCGTCTGTCTGGAGCGAGTGGTACATTGGCTTTCTCCATGCTACGGCGCAACATTTCAGTAACCGGTGACACGGGACGACTACGACGCTCGTGCTGGAACAGATATTCGGTACATCAAAATATGGAATGTTCACATTCCATAGTGTCATAACACAAATATGCTTTCAGGTGAATCATTCAAGATAGATTATCACTAAATTACAATATTTATTTCATTTACTTTACGCAAATGTATGATTACAATATATTAGGTTCTGAAAATGCGTTCCGTAAATAAATATATTTATTTCAAGAAAAATATTTCATGACGGTTCTCAATTGCAGTAATAAATTATAAATTTATATGGATTGATAACAATTTTTTATATGGCACATATAGTAAAGTCATATTTGGTCAAAGAAACTATTTTATATTTTTTAATAACATATAAGGCAATATAATCTACTTGTCTTTTTATTCATGATGAGAAAATATTCTATATCCACTATGTAAGTTATAAATATAATGATTGCGCTTAAGCTACAAAAAAATCTAGTAAACCTTGTAAACTGCCCTTATATATAATCAACAACAAGGCAGTCAGTAGTAATAAAAAAGCATATAATGAATCTGAGTACATTAAAAACTCACCTCCATTTGAATTCGAGCCAATTCCTTAGCCTGTGCCAAGGCAATTCTCGCTTCAGTTTGCAGTGTTGCTTGTAGTGCATAAAAGTCTGATTCCTTCAGCTCTATATGATTCAGGGATTGAGAAGACCGAGATTTTGATGACTTTGATATCAAAGATGCTGGGTGAAACTTGAAACCTGGAAATTAATAAATAACAGTATTATAATACTCTTGAGGCTGAATGATCAGGATGGCACTGAGTTCTGATCAACTTTGATACAACTAAAGAGATCAATAAAACAGACTCAGTAATGTCTAATAAAAGCATAGTGTCTCTAAGGACCTATAAAAAGGATTTCAAAATTATTTAGAAAACCACATAAAACGTTATTTTACAGCAAAATTTGACAAAAACCACATATAAACAAAATATTTAAAAACCAACACCAATGAAATGAAAAAGAAGCAAAACGCATATTACACATATTAAAAACTTTCTTTAACAAGTTCCATGTGACCTCCCCATTGAAAATATTTAGTTGTTATTAAAATCATGAATTAAGATTCAATCACATTTCACATCGTTGCAAATAGTTTTTAATATCTTGATGTTTCATCTTAATTATTTGTAAGTATAATTAAGGTTGCTCACCACTTTGCATGGTATTTGTTTTCTCTTGTTTTGTGACATTGACAGATAGAGGTCTAGTTTGATAAGGATGATTAAAACTACTCTTGCTGAAAATACTTGAACGCGATAAGCTTTTACTATTGCTAGTGAAACTTTTGTCCAAGTCCGAAGATTGAGATTCATTGTCGGAAGCAGTTTCGTTCATGAAACATATTTGTAAATTCTTTCCTGTAGAAACAATGTTCAACAATGGTTAAGAAGGGACCCAAATTTCAAATATTACTTATATTATTTTTATTAAATCCTATTCTATGTAAAACTCCATAAAAGCCATTATATTGTTAATAAACATATATTCCTTAGAAGGTCAAAAAAAGTTTTTTTTTAATTTAATAAGAAATAAAAGTTTGTTTTACTTTTACCAAAAGCAATTTTTATTTAAAAAAAACCAAACAATTTCTACATACTTAAGCACCAGAATGTTATTATAGAATTAAGAGATTTTGTTATTTTAGATTAGAGATTTACAAGTAGCCACCACATTTGTAACAAAAACACTTAATACACATATAAACACAGCATGGATGTAATTATCAGTATTTGTATAGTTATTCATGAAGATATATATATATATAAAGAAATGTTACTGCATAAACTAAATTAAATGCAAATAGTTACCATTTTGTAAGCGGGAATGCAAGCTTGGTTTTTTCCCTGGACGGTCAGTATGTCCCAAGCTATAATATTCTTCAGAGTCAATACCCATAGCTAATCGTTTTCTTATTTCTTCTCTGTCATTGCGTTTCTGCAAGAAATCAAATAATGTCAAACCTGTTTTACTTAATTTAAAAAATTATTTACAATAAGTCAATAACACTCTACATTTCTGTCATATGGTTCATGGTCTACTATTGTTACAATTCGGGTAAATTTGTCCAATATGTTAGGAATATTATCTGAGATTATTGGCCATTCAATTTCCGTTTGGACATAATCTCCTCCACTAATGACTCTTGGACTCAATGCAGTATTGTCGGAAATAGAGAATGTTCGCTCAGGTGATTTGGTAACTTTTGGTTTAAATATTTGGAATTTTCGTTTAACACCATTCTTTTCTATACCCTCTATGTCGGACTGTTCTAGAGAAGTTTTGCTAAACTTCCTTTTAATATTATTTATTAAACTCTCGAACATTTTAAATCTATTCAGTCTTCGTTACTATTTGGCAAAAATGGCACAATTTGTAATAAATCAGGTAATTAGTTTCTAAAAACTATGCATTTTAAAACTAAAAATTGTGAATTGAAAAGGTAAATGCTACATAGTTGTATATAGACACAAAGGAAATAAAATAGAACAATTTAACAATTTACATTCCTTTTAACTTAACTTACGTATTGACAACTCTGTCATTATTTGACATTTAGTTCAAGGATCAGCGTGCTCTATTTCTAAGATGTGTTCCATTTTCATTTGTTATCTATGCATTACTTAATTATTTGCACCAGACATTTAACATTGATATCACTGATTGAGAGCAATGAAATCAGTGATTTTAATATTAATTACGAAATCATCACCAAAGCCCGTTTCCAAATCAGCGCCAGTAACACTCTTAATGTATAGATAAATTTCCCTGCCACTGATTATAACTAGGTTAAACTCACTTACGTTACATTTTTAATTATTACGTTAAAAGAAGCTAGGAACTTACAAGACAACATAAATTATCAACAGATTCATGGTTGTCGTATGTAATAGTGTACAAATCTAGAAGAAACCGCGTATCCTTTTTATAATGTCTTTGTTCTGGATTAAAATACGGTAATGACGTCATCCCAACTGTTATTAAAAATTAACAATTTGTAAAACACCACATATAACTTTGTGATATCGTAGACACGGCCACGATACGGTGCGAGCGTCAGGTCGCTTGCGGTGTCCGCGAGTTATGGAAATTAGTTCAAACAGAAAACGAAAAGGTAGATGTAACAAACAACTTATTGCCTGCACCGCTGAATCATACTTAGAAAGGCACTTGTGCTTCAAGTTTCATTGGCAATTTTAACGGTTAGTCTAATGAATACATAATAATACAGCGAACGTGATTCGTATGTTCACATTAAGAATATGGCCACTTTACCGTTAGGTTGTCTGTTTGCGCAATTTTACATTACGCATTAATTTAACAAACATATATAAAATGTACGGATTCTTTGATAGGTACGCAAATCTTATGGATTAAATTTCAAATATATGGTTTGTAATTAATTTAAATCTGTTGTGTGCTGTTTTGTCTTGTAAGTAAAATAATCAGGATTTTTAGGTATTAACATACTTTACGTCATATAATAGATTAACAAATACATTTAAAATACCACTTACACGTCTTTCTGCATCTTTCGCTGCCTTTATGTAGTTTTCAATTGTGTCAATATCTAATTTTGGGAGCGCCGTTTCTATGTTGTAAACCTCGAAACTTTCTAAAAAATTAAAGTTGTAAATCAATCAAAGATATATTTTGAGATAAAGTATAACTTAGTACACTAAGTTAACGTACTTTTATAGTAATACGTTATTTTATTCATTAAATATAAGTAACCAAAACGTAAGATGTTTTAAATCTAAAAATAATTATTTCTGTCATAAATACGGAAGAGTTATATGGTTAGGTATTATTTTAAAGTTGTAATTCGTTAAATCTAGCCGTACTTGAATGTTTATGTAACACATATTACCAGTAGTTAAATACTGGATCTAAAGAAGTTGTATGACAGTTCTTATTAAGATTTCTTTATTAGTTTACAACGCGTAGTTATACTTACTATTTACTATATATATATATATATATTACGTTATGGTCTCGGTCAGTAATTAAAATAAATAAAAAATAAGTGGAGTTATATATTTCGCGTTTCAAACCGTTAAAAATGGCTTGTAACTGAGTTTTGTATGGTTATTTGTAAAACTGCTTTAGTTCCAGTGTTTAACTACCGTGTAATCCGTGTTACATAAACACGAAGAGCATACTAGTTTACAACTCAAGTCCATGTAACTCTTCTGCACGTGATGCATATATAAAATTATTTTTATTTAATACAATAATCAATTGTTTAATAAATATTGTGCTTTACTTACCAATATCACTTTCAGCTATTACAATATTATCTTGGGGGACGGACGTTTTATATTGAGCATTATATTTAGAAGTATCTCTTGTGTCACTGGAATATAAAATTATTCACCTTAATTTATCACCGTCATCATATTCAAAAGATATATTTAAGCTGCTCACTACCTCATATTGTTATAATGTATATTTCATTTAATAATTCTAGTAGATATAGCAAAGTAAATAAATAAGCTACACCATGTAATACACGTGCGAAGTTACACGGTTATTACCAACAGAATCAAAAGCTCCACATTCTATTTAAAATCATGTCGTCGTCATGAGATCATAGGCGTATCTTACAACGATGGATTAACCAAGACAAATGCGTAATGTATAATATTGGCAAATTTTGTAGTATACTTACATTTGAGCTTTGTCTTTATCCGAAACGTGATAAAAGTTTCTCTTTTGCTTGTTGTTGTGAAGAGATTGGGTGCGTACTTCTTTATATTTTATAGGGGGTATATTAGAAGATTGTTGTAACAATTTATTTGAATTTCCATCCGTTAAAAATGGCCGCTCTGTCCACATTTTGTCTCGTTCACGCATTTCATTCAGTTTAGGAATTATTTTCCTTAATTCAGTGCTAAGTTGTTTGATTGTAGTCTCTACGTTGTTACTTAACTGTTGAGTATCATAAGAATCTTCATTGATATTTATTTCCTCCTTACCATCAGACAAAGCAGCGTCTTGTATTTGATCATTACAACTATCCAGTAGAAGAAATGTAGGTCTGCTTAAATTAATCTCCTTTCTGATATCTGATACATTTGTTTCTGGCACGCTCCTTTTCAGCTCAATTTTCTCCTCTATTACATCAATATTTACATGATCTTTGAAATCGTCAGAAGTGTCGTGCTGAACGAGTTTTTTAATAACATGATTTACAACTTCACTTATATTGTTGATTGTTGACTCGATCGGTTTTTCAAAGTTATCTTTAATATCTTTTCGTAACTCCTCCAAGTCATCTTGGATATTTATATTATAATTTAATAACTGTTTTATTTCATCTTCCACTTCTTTGTTGAAATCTCCAATAATATCTTTTGTGTCAAAATTATTCTCAATGTCCGTACCGAACGATGTAATGTCGCAGTTTACTTTACAGTCATTATTATTATTTGCTTTGGAAATAGTTTTAAGAAGATCAGGTATATCATCACTCGTTTTTTCAGCTTGATTATTGGTAATGTGATGAAATTTCATAGACTTTTCATTTTTTAGTAGGTTAAGTGAGTCCAATTTGTTATTGTTAAGCTCTTCATAGTTATAATTAGCATCACTTTTTGGATCCACTTCCGTTATATCTATATCGATATCATCGTCAGTCATTTCATTTTCCGATTGATAAAAATTTTCTATATTTGATGAGTACTCCTTTAATCAATAAATTAGTAAATAAATGTCAAGTTAATAACAATAAGAAATATTCAAGAACTTAACATTATTGAAAAATCTAATTTTTTCAATTTATTTTCGATTTTTAAATAATATAGTGCCTTCAAGTACAATAAAATGTAAAAAACAATAAAGTTTACAAACTTAATATTAAGCAAATTATAACGTGCAAATTTTCTTACCTGCAAAGTATGGGCAAGATGTTGAAAGCCTGGATAGTTTGGATTAACGATGCCTCTTGGTATTAGATGAATACTATCTTCAGACATTTCCTCTGAATCCGATTGGTCAAAAGAGGCGAGTTCTTCATCAACCGCCCTTCTAATATGATTTGATTCATTTGCGCCTTCTAAAAATAGGACATCGCGTTTGCAAAATAAAATAGACATAAGTAACGCCTACTAACTAATATGCGCAATGTTACATAGTAGGCAATATAATTTAAACCTTATGAATTCGAAAAATAAAGCCAATTAACCATAGAGATTATTGAATACAAAATACATATTTGTTATTTACCTTTAAATGTAGGAACCAAAGATTTTCTTGATTTTTCTTCGATTTTGGTAGCAGCTTCTAAATTCTGATTATTTAGTTTAAATTGTAGGTTACACACCGTCGAATCAAGTACTATATGACATAGTACATTGTCTCCGGTATTTATGTTATTACATAAATGATAATTTTCTACTCTGGGTTGGCTTTCTTTAAAGCGATATGGTTTATCATCAGTTAATGCAATTGTACTGTTATTGTCAACTGACTGTTCGTTTCCGTTGTTTTTATTATTGGCGATCCTCATAATTACCTGGAATTTAACATACATTTACTTTACTTACAATATTTATGATAAATAAGTATTAAGTACAAAAAAATATGTATATTTTTGGGACCAAAACTAATATCTCTAACATAGTAATTACATATACTTACAATTGAATTGATTATTCATTTAAAAATCGAATTTCTATTCTGTCAAATATCTATTTTGAATTTAATACTGCAAACACGTTTTAAAGCATGTTTGTCTTTAAATATTGTCTATAGTTTACGCGAGTAGTACACATTTAAATAAATCACTTTAACGGTTCGGATGCTTTGCAGCAGCCGTGGCCACGGGGAGAAACGTCGGGCCGAAGTTAAAAATCATTTTCAAAATATGTCTTAGTTACAGTAGTACACATTTAAATAAAACACTTTAACGGTTTAAAACGCGATATATTAGTTAAACTTATTCGGCCCGACGTTTCGGATGCTTTGCAGCAGCCGTGTCTCCCCGTGACCACGGCTGCTGCAAAGCATCCGAAACGTCGGGCCGAAGTTAAAAATCATTTTCAAATAAGTTTAACTAATATATCGCGTTTTAAACCGTTAAAGTGTTTTATTTAAACATTTTCAAATAAGTTTTACTAATATATCGCCTTTAAAACCGTTAAAGTGTTTTATTTAAATGTTTGTCATTTACAAGCAATTCGGTAAAATTAATCTGGCAACAATTTAAGCTAAACACGTATTATATAAGGACGCAAGTATCCGCTTTCTTTTTAGAAATTTACATAGACACTTAAGTCTGTTTATTGTGTCTATCATAATATATTCGTATATACATTCACTACTCATATATCCTTACGTAACGTTTTATTTTGCATGTTTTATTGTTTTACTTAATTTAATATATTCATTCTTTCATTTTGCTCACTAAACTCTGATTCACATTATGGTTTCACATGAGGCAGTTTTTGAGATGTAATATTTAGTCGTGCTGCCTAGCAATGCATCACAAGAGAGCGGACGTCGGATCTTGGTTAAACAGAAATAATGTAACAGTCGTAAAATATAAAGTAAGTATAAGGTACAATATTTTGTGACGGTGTACAATTCTCTTAAAGCAATGTGTAGAGCCGAAAAAGTATGTTTTTGATACCGAAATCTAAAAAAACCAATCATGCATGAAGACATTTGTTTGTTGTTAGATAATTTTTAAAAGTGTGCGTACTATTTTTTTCAATGCCCATGGAATAGGGATCCAATAATAAAAAAGACATTGGTAAACAAGAGGAAACCGTGAGTTAGTTTTGTGTGGAGCCAGCCAGTTTCTGAAAATATCAACTATGCAGACACAGTTGGCGTTACGTAGCAGATTTCACATTAACATAAGTACAACTACGTCTGCTGCATCCAAAACATCGGATAAAAAGTTAACATAAGTAAACTTAATATATTTCGTTTGTTTATTGTTTTTGTTTATTGAAGATATAGGTATTGAACGAAACTGTTACTCTAAATATTATGTATACAAATTTGTAGTACCTATTTGATGTCGATTCTATATTTTTTAAATCTAGGATGCTCTATTTAAAGCTAAAAGGAGTGGGTCAATAGCTCTCAGCGACATCACGATACTAAAGGCTCGAACTGCTGGGTACGTCTATCTAACGAAGTTTTTAATTTTTTATTCAGTACTTATATACTTCCAAAATAGAAGTTACTACATGTAAATACTTATTATAGTTCTTCTAATAATAAAAGCAGGATAAGTGATAAAGTATGATCTTGTGTAAGTACTATTACTGTAAGATTTTTATTAAATCCTGTTATTTACTCTACCCTACGGGATGCCCTATATCCTACGTAAAGACTAATTTCTATATATATTTGATTGTTATTTGATATACCCAACTATCTAATGTGTTTCCTCGAATTTCGAACCCAGTATCTTTGAAATTTAACATAATTCTTGACGTTGTGCCAACAAGATGACAAACTCCCAAGCTTATACGCATATATAGAGTTATCATTTAAAGTAATTAGAATAATAATGGTTTAAAATCATTATTTACGAAATTTCGAGTATCACTAACTTGTATAGCTTTCACATTCGATATCAAACTTCCATTAAAACTCAAAAGAAAGTTACGTTTATTCTTATAGTTCAATACAAGATCTGTTATGCTGATACGCAGTAATCAATACATCGTACATTTGGAGGCCTGTTACCTATTTGGTAATACTATTAGATGATATAGATTAAATGGTTTAAAAATTAGACCATATGATATTTGCATGTTTTTTGTTGTGTGTCGTAATGTTCACCTATAATGGTTTTAATATTACTCTAATTAAGCGCTAAGGCTGTGGTCTTCTATAAACGCTGCAGGTTGAGTTAACGACTATATACTCATTACAAACAATGTCATTAATGAACAAGGTTCGTATTGAAATCAAGCCGTATTAGAAGTAAAAAAAGCAGTTGCCACTTGATACAAGAGTTCGGCCAATAACTATTTCGATTTGTATTAATTATACAACATAAACTATTATTATTGTTACGTCGATAAAATATATAATATGTTGTATAACATATAAATACTATAATTGTTGCGTTCGGACTTGACACGTCCGCAGGCTCCAACTAAAAAGTAGTGTAACTTGTACTCTATCTACTTTGCTAAAAGCGGGGTTCCTTTTGCCATCTGAAACCTACTGAATCAATCAAATCAAAATAACCAACAAAAGTCAATTAGTTGTTAAATATTTTATGATTTCTTTTAAAATAAAAATTTTTGGCCGCCTCTGTAGCCAACTGGTTAAACGTATTCGAATCCCAGGGAGGGCACAGAAAACTGATCTTGCCCGTTAAAAGAACAGATCAGTGAAACGGACACAGAAATGTGTTCGCCCCATGCTCCACGGGGGGGAAACGGGCTTTCAATTTCTTTTTTATTAAATTTGCTAACCAAGATAAGGGCAGACGAAGCGATGAACGTTGTGTCTGCCGTACGTCAATGTCAGTCTATAAAAAGGAGACAACAACAGTACATTTCTATTCTACGGATATATATTTCTATTTTATAGGAGACCACAGCCTAATAAACGACAAGTGAATGACATGACCCGACGCGCCCTCGCCCTTCGTCTCTCAAACTTAATGGCCACTACAGTGATAGATAGCACAGAGACCGAAGTACTTCCAACGATCCTATTAAAGCAGTTTTCTTTTGACATTAATATTTTCGGCAATTCACCTCAATGTATTCATATTTCGTAGAAAGCTATTTTATTTCCATTGCACTGACCGTGGCCCAATATATCTACTTAAAGTTAAGAAATAATCTTTAAAAAAGTGGATATTTATTGATAGAATATAAAATTTATCCTTAAGACAAACGATATCGTAGTATAAAACAACTATACGTTAATCAAATGTGGAAGTGGTTTAAACGTATTGGTATTATGAAAATTTGCGTCATACACAGGCTTAAGCTTAACGTATACAAAAAGAAAGGCGGGCGATGAGTGAGTAAACAAAAACACCGGGCTTGTAACAAAAGATCCACAAACAATGGCTACAAAAAAGACTAACGAGGCACAGTACCAAACCATAAGTACCTATCTATAAATGATAATACATACATAATTGTTTATTGTTTGTTGTTAATTATATCGTCATTGTGACCATATTGTATAATACGGTTATCATTTTCATAGGCGCAAGAGTTCTTGGGTTCGAATCTTAAAGGAAGAGAAATATAAAATAAGATCGTTTGTCATTATAACCGTCATTCGCTACGTCGGATATTAGGAGGATGTTTGCAAAAACAAATTTTGGACCTTACAATAACTAGGTATTCTACACGGACGAAGTCGCTGGGTCAACTAAAACTTACATGCTTCTGTAAAATTTTAATTTAATCACAGTAACTAGGTTGCCCTGAGTGTAATTCCGTTATAAATGTGCTTTAAAACTCTTACTTATTCATACTGGAAGGCACCCAAATTGCTACGCGTCTACGAATGAGAAACTAGTTCGCATAAGTGTAGATGTTAAAAGTCATACAAAGATGTAGGTTATCATTTTCACAAATAGAGATCTTTTAATATATCTCTAATAGAGTAGTAGAAATTGTTCTTAATTTAACTTTATGTGTTAACATTTTAAAACCTTCTATGTCCTAATCACCTAAGAGCCATTCTATATTAATTTTTCACTAAAGCCAAAATGTATAGCGAATAGATTATGCATATGTAAATTCAAAAATATTTGCATATAAAATATAATCTATTTTGTCAGCAGAGGGTAATATAAATAGTAAATTAATGATAAAAAAAGCAGTTTAGTGTTACAAAAGTTCCAAAACCTAATCCTAGTATGTTTATTTATTGACTATATTTAGCATTTTATATTATAACACAATATTTATAATACTCAGTAATTATTACAGAAGTGAAATCACAGTCAAAACACATTTTATTTGCGAAAATTAATCACCACAAATATAAGAAAAACGATCGAAATACTAAATGTCAAATGGTGCAAATAGGCCGATATCCCGCGTGGGCGCTAGTCAATAAAGGAATATCTTATATAAATTAAAAGTTCGAGACATGTATATACTATTTATATATGTTTATATCTACATATCATAAAAAATGAGTATTTGATGGTTAGTTTCTCATGCAAATAATACATAAAGGTTCATTTCATTGAGGGATTGTTTTAAGAGTACTTACTTTTGGAATATGATTAAAATTTTAAATATTTATTTGCGTACCTTATTGAGATGGAAAATCATAACAAATTAAATTTCTAATAGCCAAGCAGTGTCGTGTTGTGGGACAGATCCGATATTATAAGGACAATCTAATTACACAACAGGCCTTCACTTTTTTTAGTCTACGGAGAGAATCGTACCTTTAAAGAGCGCCATCCTGACCGTAGCCTAGCGTAGCCACTGAATAATGAATGCACCGGGCAAGGTTATATGTTATAATGTCCTCAAACATTAGATGTCGATAGAGTATCACGTATTTTATAATTCCAACCGAACCAATTGTACTTGGATTCTATAACGGTTTACGTCACTCGGATTAATGAGGTTATTGTGGGAAATGTACTGAAGTGGTGTGCGACGTGCACCCCGCCCGCCTTTCACTGCAAAATGATCGCGTGGCCGCCCGCCTCCACCACCTACCGCGGCGCCCTGCCCGCCTATTCCCAATATGCGTCTTGTGCAACATTCTATTACTATTTTGATTATATCTTGATATTATTACATCGATAATTTCTAATCTAACTATCGAAAGAAGTAAACATGCAGATTTTGTTGTGAATTAATTATTGTGGGACAATAATATTTAATAAACACATTGTAGAGAGCTTATTTAATTTATTAAATCCTTTTCAAAATTCTCCTAAAAATAAATAGTATAATACCATCACCACCGTCAAAAAACAGCATTGCATTCCTACGACTACCGCTATGTTTACCCCCAAAAACACAGATGGCGCAACTTAACCTTTCAAGTCGACATTCCAACCCTACAGTAGATAGCGCTTCGAACAAAATCGGCTTTCTAAACGTTAAAGCAACATTATCGCTTAAGAAATTATAAGAATAATATTTTGGAGTATGTTGTATTTAAGTATAATATTATAATATCCAATAACAAAGATTATTTTTAAATTTTAGGTAAAGTTAAGATTAGGTTTAAAAGCCTATTTTATTTTTACGTAATTTATTATTGAAAAATAAATTGGTTAAAAAAATCTAAATCGTTCTCAAGAACAGAAACAGAAAATCAATCCAATTGATTTTCTGTTTTGACGTAACAACACAGTATTGTGTAGACCCTGCGTAGACCGTCTACGAGAGTAATAGGTTTGTAGTTGCTACTTTGTGTCAATAACTAGTTAAAACCTTTTACAATATCCATTTTCGTCGTTATAAAAGTTATTTTTTATTTGTTACATAAAGGATTATTAAACAATATTATGCATTAATTCAGTGAGTTAGGCAATATGATACTATTGTTTTTATAAGAACTGTTTCAGTGTACAGGGTAAAATAGCATTTTTTATTTTCGCATTCATGAACAAAATATCTTGGCAAGTAATTTGGGTGTAATTATATAAGTTATCGGAATGAATATGCATTTTAGAAGAATAACAATCGAAATACATGTGACGATCAAAACGTTGTCACTCGATGAAAGGTCTGTATTTCATTTGATATAATTGTTTTATCGTCTATTCACATTTTAAAATGTATAAAAACCAAGGCTGCCAGCTTGAGATAAAACTACTTGACCGTGTCAACTAGCTATCTTCATATAGTAGACGTACATGCCTATCATACAATTGGGTTCCGATCGTATCTTGTTTTAGAAGCTCGTTTTTCTACAATAGAAGCTCGCATTTATCAAATTGAAATTTTATTTCTCAAAAACTGAAAATAGGATAAGGGATTTTTACGAGGACTATAGTATACGTACATTTCGACGTCCGCTTCGCTTATCAATGCCTTTTTACAAGTTTATTACGACTCTGAGATTCCAACACAAGACTTTAATACAAAACAATTATTCATTGAGCTTTGGAGGTGGTCACGTTTTAAGTATACCGAATAGAATTACATCATACATAAAACAACTGCCGTATACTTAATTATAGTTTCGCTTTCAAAGAAGGGTAACCTATCGTGTTACCTACCAACTAAATATAGAATTTTCTTGGGGTTGGAATGAGATAATCCAATAAGGTAGGGAGTAACTCAATACTTGACTTACAAGAACATTGAACGCAGCAAGTACTTTTACTTAGAATCGTGACAAAAAAAGGGCTTTACTAAAATGAAGGTATTTATATAAACAAATAATCCAAAAAAAAATAAAAATAATCTGCAAGTCAAAATCAAAATATTGTTTCATTTTGTCTTTTATATTCTTAAATAGTTACATCCAGCTACCCTCGTGGAGTTAAAACATTTCTCTGTCCATTTCACTGATCGGTTCTTTTTTAGGTACGTAATTGATAAGACCAAAACAATCGGTTGTTTCCCCAGGATTGGGAAACTGATTAGCGTATTCCAAGCGGAGGTATTCGCCATTAGGGGATGTGCAGAGATTGCCAGGCACTTAAGACCCCCATCACGTGTAACAATTATACAGTGACAGTCAGGCGGCATTAAAGCGCTATGCAAAGAAGAGACGACATCCGCTATTGTCAAAGAATGTAAGGAAGCACTGGACAAATTTACTGATCAGGTAGAAGTGGCAATTGCCTGGGTCCCCGGACACCAAGAAAATATTGGCAATGAGAGAGCGCACGAACTCGCTCGCAAAGGAGCCGATGAAAGCCGTAGGACCGGAACCGAGATATTCGATAGCGCATAAAGTAACCAAGGGTATAATCAAGCGAAGAATCATAGAAGAAACAAACCAAAGATGGAAATCTTCGACTGGAATGAGACAGTCGAAAATGTTCATACATAGCCTAGATAAAAAGAAGACCAAAAACCTGATGAGACTAACGAGAGCGAATATCCGACTCATCGTAGAAATCATAACAGGACATTGTCTAAACAGACATCTTACAATGATAGGAATAGGCAGCGACCGCCTATGTCCGGAGTGCAGAGAAAGTGAGGAAACAAGCATCCATCTACTCACTGAATGCTCTGCATACTCGAGACTGAGCAAATACATATGGGTTCGGACGAAGTTACAGAAGATGACATCAAAGAACTACAGATGGAAAAAATAATAAGATTCTGCAACCGGAAGGTTTGAAGGGGACACGGAAAGAGTTGGATGACCCAAAACCTATGCAAGGAGGGGTGGTGAATGGTCAACTGTTAACGTGGACTGATCACCCGTCCTACCACAGGTGTCCCCGAAAGAAAATAATAATAATAATTTCCCCAGGATTCGAACCCAGGACCTCTCGCGCTTAACGTAATGTTAGGCAACACGTTTAACCATTTAACTAATTTTCTTACATAATGCGAATAAATTCAGTCACAGATAAGTAAACAGGACATTTAATTTTTATTTTCTTCTTAATATTATAAATCAGCTTAATTAATTACTTTGACAAATAAGCGTATTTACATTTAAATACTTAGAATTTAAAGCCAAAATTGTCCTAAAATTTGTGTATTCAGATCAATGCCTCTAAAATACAAATATAAAAAAAGAAGATAATATTTCAATAATTGGCCTTTTTTTACAAAATAAACATAATCAAAATAGTGTTGATTTCCTATTGCAAATTAATAATAGTACTTAAAAGAAGTTAAAGAAAACAGGAATACAGTAAATTAACAAAACCAATGTTTTATAGAGACCACTTAATAGTAACCCTAAAATTGCCCTTGCTTTATCGATACATACGAAATTTTATTTAATTTTTCTACGGCTATTCTCTTTACGTACTTGAAATTCAGAAAATAAAATCTTAGCATTCTTTTCTAACATACCTTAAACTTACCTGTATATTTCGGTCTATGTAGGTATCACGTTATTTTATGTTTCACTGTTGTGAAGTTGTTAAAATAGATGAATCAGAATGCGATATAATGGTGTACTCGCGTAGGCACTTGAAGTCTACTGCCGCACACTGCTACAGCCGAGGGTACGTCGCGTCGGGCCCGTCGTAGACAACGCTACGCGACGACTCCAAGGTCATTTGTTCATGATTCCGAAATATTAAAATTACACATTTCTTATAACATGCTAGGCAGAGACGGAGTGGCCTAATAACAAAAAAAATGACTTTCTTTTTACTTTTGATGATGAGTAAAATAAAAATGCGTAATTAACTTAGGCGAAAATGAATTTGTACTATTATTATCATATATATTATTGTGTAAGGATCATGCTCACAATTTTCGGTTACTGTGTCTAGTAGATTAACATTTTTAGATTATAAAAATACTTAGAAGTGAAGTCGTAAAATTGCAGTTAGGCTACTACCTCTAGCGGCCTAATATGTACTTTTTACTTTACAATATTTTCATACGTCTTAGTGATAGTAGATAGGGGTTGTTAACCATTAATATTATTTTTTATTCTTGTACAATGTTTGTTTTATTTTTGTAAAATGTGCCACCGAAAAAAAAAATACACAGAACCCTAAATATTATTCCGTTTATAACCAATTTATTTAAAGCCGTAATTTAATTACTTTTCATCCTGCTCCGTAACTGAATATTACTTGCTAATTTATCCCGCCCAGGCGTCTACAAGTATCAATAATTTATAATACAGTCATGTTTGGTGTTTTCTTTGTTTTCACGTGTAATACGTTCTGATCCATACACACTAAACATCCAAAACATAATTTATGTGGCAATACGTTTGCCGGATAATCTAGTTATATTATATATTTCAGTCAGACTTAAGTACTATAGCAACGCGAAGTTTTTAAATCGTTGCCGCCACCATTCGCATGTAGTCGTAGTAAGTGAAAAAAAAGTTTATAAACTTTATTACAAAAAACAACAAATAAACAGTTGGTACAATTAATTTAAATTTATTACACAGGTTTGCTGATAGAATCCATCTGAGCCCATTGATTTCCTCTGAGACAGGTGAATACTACTTAGCTCTATAACACCGAAATCAAAATCTTTAAATTTTTTTAATACTTCTGATCCATCGAAACTCTCTCTTTGTTGTTTTATTGAAGGCTCATCTTCATCGTCCCGTGACGACCTGCCTCTGTACTTTGAATTTAATAAAGTGACATGCACTTTGACGTGGTCTCGACCAAATTCCTTATCCATGAAGCCTGAAAATGTACAATTTTAACTGTAATACGTATATGTAAAATGTAGATGTAATATTGAAATGTGCCTTATTTCTAAGAACAAAACATTATACTGGGTTACTGACTTATTTACCTTTCTTATAAAAGAATTCAACAATTGCATCCACCACATCTTGTAGAAGACCATCTCGAACGTTATCTTCTTCAACAGTGCCATACAATACATGCACATCCTTTGGGTCATCATTCATATAGGACAATCCTTTAAGTCTAAGTCTTAGTGGTAGATAGTTTTTTAAAATGGGCCTGCAGAATTTTTACATTGATTTTTTTTAATGGATTGAAGCAACATGTTTATGAAAACAAACCAAAAACAATAACATTATTTCTGTAATAATCTAAAATAAACAAATGGGCAATGGTTTTTTAAATGCCTAACATATAAACTTATTAATGTTAACTTATTTTTAACTGATCAATTTATGAAACTATTAAAAGTATTTAATTGAAATTTATCACTTGCATTAACGACAATCAATGGGTAATGTAACAAAACTTTAATAATTCTTGTTTTTTAACGATTTGTACTTTTTAAACCATTTAATGTTCATGTATTGAGAAAAATAAAGTCTACTAGAAACAGTGACTTACATAATAATAAGTTCTTTAGCCTCTGTTAAATATTTGGAAGCAAGTAACCTTTCTTCATTGTCCATCAAACACATGACACCAACAGTTATGTGAAGTTTACTAGCTTTTATAAATAGTGATTCTTCCAAACCCCTGCTTTGACACTCTGATAGAACAGAGTTCTGTAAAATCATGCAAGTCCACACATACAAATAAGATAATAATATGAAAATTGGTGTAAAAAAACTGCACTGAACCATTTAATTCATAAAGTACCTGTGCCCCAGGTAATCAATATAATATGATTTCTAGAATCTCAGACCTCTCACATTTCGTGTATTGTAAGGTATGTGTCTTTTGCTAATACTCTTTGGTGTGAAAAGAATAATTTTTGTACCTTGAAACTTTCAAAGCTCTTCATAATATCGGGGCTATTCATTGGAATAGAAATAAAGTGGGTAGAGTGATTTTTCATTCTAGCTGACATGACAATAACATTAATTCTCCTCCGAGCGGCTTTCACACTCTAGAAGATAAAATAAATATCTATTCAATATAGATTAAAAAAAGTTGAATGCTATAGCATATGTAATAAATTCGTTAAAAAATCATATTACAATGACAAAAGCAAAAAAAACTTACAGCAACATTTGAACCATAAATTGTTACATCTTTAGTTTCACCCAATTTAGGTATTTTTATGTCTGTCTTGGTGTCTCTTTGTATTCTCATTCTTGTTGTTCCTTTCTTACCTATAATGTGACCTAAATAGTGCCTTAAAAATTAAGAAAAAACATTATATAGTAGATTTCCCAATTAAAAGAAAATTAAGTTACTACTTAGTAGTTACTAGGATACAGTTGACCTTACTTAGATACATGAAACGTTGTATAAAACCTATTGGAGTCAACCATTTCAACTTCGTAGTCATCATCGTCGTCCTCTTGAGGCATATCCTCATATATCATCTCTGGAATTTTTGTAAGCATGACTTAGAAGTAGTTTAATTATTAAAATAGCAATGTCGTATTGAAAAGTAGTACAACAATATTTATTACCGTTTTCAAACAAATCGTGTTCTTGGTGAAAAGAAATATCTGTAGTCGGATCATTTACTCTATAACATCTCCCTTCTATCCATAGTAGATCGGGTCTAAGAATGTCGTTCATATTTTTCAACTGTTTGTACTAATTACTATACTGAGCAAGTATTGTTTAATGGGTTACACTTTAGAGCATAACAATTAACAATCAACAATAGTATGGCATAATATGCCAATTGCTATAACTATGTAAACAACAACACATGTAATGACAGATAACTATAACTATGAGCTTTGTCAATTGTCAAAGTATTAATATAAATTTACTTGCAATAGTTGGCTTATATACGTCATTTACAAATTGCGGAAAATACAAAAAAAGGGTAGAGGTAGGTATTTACCTATAACTTTATAGGAAACTAGCTGTATCAGCGACATCGTCCGCGTATAATAGTTATTTAGGGCATCCAAATTTGTTATTGCAACCGTTCATCGCATTAGCCTTCGTCGTTCGTGCAAGTTTATCTTAAAAGATAGACATATAGCACCGCGGACTTCTTTTAGATCATTTAAAGAACAATCATTCTTTCATACATATTTTTTGGGTATCTTGAACCATTTGCGCAGAGTACGCATTGGCAACCCACAAAGATGTGTGGGTGTGAATGCCAACACAACCACCGACACAAAAATAAATTTTCAATTTGGACCCGTAGTTCCTAAGATTAGCGCGTCCATACATGCAAACAAACAAACTCTTCAGCTTTGTACATTAGTATAGATAGATATTTTCAAAACTTATCAAAAAACTTCACAAGTTTATCATTTCATCATTTTTGTTTGCATTTGGTTTTAGAGTCACAATCTGTTACAAATTATTCTTTTTTAAAAGATTATTATCGGTATTTTGTCTTTATATTACTTTGTACTAAAATTTCATGTTGGTCTAAACACAAAATACATACATAAATGCTAAATATCGAGGCAGTAGCCTGTACAATCTGTACATAACTAAACAAATAGGTACATGTTCAGTTTGTAGGCGATATTATTATCTCCTAGGTAGTTGATACCTATAATTCGATGATAAGGTGTCGGTCAACGTGTTTACACTTTACGTATTGTTAAACTCATATTTTTTATTATGCTACGTTTACCAAACGCGTGATGTGCTGAAAAGTGAAAATATTACATTTCGTATACAAAATTTCTCGTTGCCATGAACCAAAACGTTCAAAAATCGTGTAATATTTATTACAGTGCAAATTATAATTATACATCTATAAACAATAAAGAAGGTTAGTTTAATTGTTTATTTTATTGCAATGGAAACAATCAGCATATTAGGCGATAATCATACTTATTTATGGATATTACTGAATATATAACATGAAGATAACTAGCGAGATAAACAAAAAATACAGAACTGCTTAGCTTATGCGCAAATCAAGTTTTTAGTCTATCTAAATTTATTTATTTAAAATCAAGTAACTGTTTAGCACACGGTAGGATTTCGGTATGTTATCCTTTACAAATGAGGAACACGTTAACACTGTACATCCAAAGCCAAAATAGGTCGACAGAGACATATGGCTGGGGTAGATAGAATATCTACCCCAGCCATCCATCATACCCATCTATATAGGTATCTACCTTTAACGTTAGATGTTAGGTAAACGAAAAAACAAATATTGCATTTTAGTACAGAAAAATATTTACTTGTTATTGAGAATGGTAGTTTAAGTGTTCAAACATCGAATAACATATATATAAATCTGTCAAGCTGTTTTAGCGTAAATCTATATCACACATAAACTCTTCTAATTATTAACTTAGTAAATAATTACGCATGTGACGGTAATTTATGTTAATCTACGCTGTAGTTTATACGCTATGGAATACAGTGTCTTTATACTATATCTCTGGCAGTATCAGTATTTGAAATTTCAAAATCCATGTTAAATATTAGGTAAACAATATAATTATGTATAAAGAGTTAACTGTCTGAACTAAGAGTAATTTTATCTTTTATGTTAAATGAAGACACTCGCTTCAATTCGTGATCTTTTGACTATTCAAGGTTACAGTAATTTCACACTTCCTAAATGCCAATTACTTATGTGTAAAATGCGCGTTAATAAAATTACAAAAATATCATAGGGACCTATGTGGGACAATCTTTGGTATGTGTTATTTTTATTGAGCTCTTTCTTAATAATTTAAATAACGAATTATAACTAAAAATTATAGTTACAGTATATTTTTATTTATTTCCCTAATATTTAATTGCTTTAGGTACCTGGTTATTGTCATATTATGTTCGATGGTTAATCCAATCTAGCGTTCATTTGATAATTTTCATAATATATAAATTCACTTAATATATATAAATAATAATTTAAGATCAATTCGTATTTCCTAGACTACTAGCACACGTATATACATGTACGCCCTTAATTTATTACTTCAAGTTATGTATTTATTCTTCTTTTTAATAGATGGTGCGAAAATGCATGGATCAAGGAGGGTTGTGGTATTTTGTCTGCTCACAACGTTCTTGCCTTCGGTACTCATTATATCTCCTTTATATCTGAGACACATAAGATATGCAGATGTTATGTATAAAATATCTGATTCTGATGTTATACAGATACATAAAGGACAGTCATCAATATTTTGTGAAAAACATTCCCTAAAAATGAATAACACATTCAATGCATTCCAAATGAAAGGGCGGCCACAATTATCACAAAAAAGGAAACATATTACGTTGAGAAAGTCTATGTCCCTGCCAGATGATACTTTAGAATACTGGGGCTTTTATCTGTTTGCTGGTGCTACTGTAGAATTAAAGGCATGTTCAAGATATGAAGGCTCAAAAATACTAGTTGTTAAAGGAGAAAAGACACTAGATACATGTGGTATTTTAGAAGGAAGCCATTATAAAAATGACGCACCACTGATAGAAAAAAGTGAAAATGTTTCAGTGACACTCCAAAGTCCTAATATACTGAATAATCCAAATCCAATTATCAGTGAGAAAAAGTTTTATGATGATGATGATAATAACACCTCTCATGATGTTCAAGGGCAAAAATTAAGGAACAAACGGGATACACTAAGTCCTTCGTTGCACAACCCTCATACTATTTTAGACACCGGTGTCAACCATGGAGGTAATGCATTTCCAAAATCTAAAGCTGAAAATAATGACAGATCTGTGTCTAGTTTTGAAAATAATCTTTATCAATGTTATAATAAAAATATTCTAATCAATGAATACTTTCCATATTCTATACAATGTAACAACACAAAATATTTAGAGATTACAACAACTCTTAAAGTTGTTCATGAAGTTACATTAGATGGATATTATTATTATATATTTTACAGTGATAATGATATTGTTATTAATGATGTTCATGCAATATTTGATATTTACAAACCAGTGTTTCAATATTCAAATATGTCTGATCCCAAGATATGTATAAATAAAACAGAATGCTCATTTGATGTCACAATGTTTAGTGACGAATTAGTTATAGTAGACATTCCAACAAGAGATGGCTTAAAGAATGAGGATAATTCCATTTTGATGTCAGTTTGTCACCCTAGAATGTCTGTTTACATAATATTTCCTGTATCAGTACTTTTATTAGTTCTTCTATTTGCATTTTTATGATATTTGTTAAAAGTGGTTGTGTACACTATACTGATAAAAGCTAACATTACTGAGAGTAAAGCATTAATTTATTATTAGGTAGCTATTATATACCTTGTTAAGCATTCTTATTTTATGTACATAAATGTTCTCATATAAGACTGTGATGTTATTTTGCTCTGCATATTTTACCTTATTATTGTTGTTAAATATAAAGACAAGATGATAAAATCCAAAAAAATTGTTTTCTTTATAAGTTAAGGAGAAATTTTACAACTCATCATAATAACGGAAGAATATGCTATTGTTGCTGAATTTGAATCTTTGCAGATATTATAGAATTTTATTTAGACTGGGAATAGAATGAACGGATGATTGTTATTAAAAGTGTTACATACTGAAAAACAATTTATTATCGACTGCTAACACGTAGATAATGAGAACTCACAATAACCATTCTTGACTATTTTATTTAATTGTATACAAGGAACCTTAATTACCAACTTCGTTTTATTTTAAAGTAATTTATTCGAAAATAAAAGTATTCGAAATAAAACAAAAACCATGTAAAAACAATAAAAAATAAGCAATAACATGCTTCAGTACTGAAATAACAACAGTGTACAAATGGGTTCAAAAGAACAAGGATACCAATCAGGAGAATGGTCGGGGCCTAACAAAAGAAAGTAATGAACTTATTGGGACAGTTTGATTTATTATTTCCACATAGTTGTTTCCAATGTGTTTTCAGGCGAGTTGGTAGATCTTCTGTAAACAAAAATTTATTCCAGCTCAGAACATATGCACTTAGAAATCGAATCAGGTTCCGATCGGGAATGGAGCGCTAGAATTTATTTTTAATAAGAATACCAATAGATGTTTAATTATATTTATTTACTGAATTACAAAAAACAGTTATTATATGTACAACTGGAAAAGAGGTTACAATACAGTATTTCCTTCTAGTACTTTTGTGATTGAAATAGCCTCTCCAGTACCCGATGAGACCTCTCTGCAAATAGCAAAGAGGTCTACGCGGAACGGGGGCCATCCGGCCGAGCCGGTCTTACGCCTATAAAGTATATTTAACTTATATTTATAAGACTATAATAGTATGTATTCATTAATTAAACTAAAAACAATTGTATCGGTCCAAATAAAATAAGTTCCAATAAAAAATCAGCACAGCGGTACTTGGAAGGCAGTCCTAATACTCACACTGTTTAAATATCGCAATAGAATGCAGGACACAAAAGTTTAAACCGGAATGCGGTAGGCACCTCAGATAAGGTTGGCCACATCACTGGGCATTTCAGTAATAGTAGTGTGGTAGAACTCCTCAATATCTTTTAGCGCGCGCTTGTCAGCTTCGGTAACAAAGTTGATAGCAATCCCCTTACGACCGAACCGTCCGCCTCTTCCAATCCTGCACAAGAAATCAGTATTAGTAAGTAATAGAGAAATGATGATTTGATTGAAGCTGTTTTTTCTTTTTTATTAATCTGTATCTGTGTGTGTATATTTATGCATCTAAATTGTAAATGAAACTTGTGCTGGACTTCATAGTTTCTGCTAATGATGAAGAAAGAAACAGGAACTTTGGTCCTATACATCTATTTGCCTAACACTGAAACATACCTATGAATGTAGTTTTCACGGTTAGTCGGCAGATCGTAATTGATGACGCATGACACTTGCTGCACATCAATACCACGGGCCAGCAGATCAGTAGTAATCAGCACTCGAGAGGAGCCAGTACGGAATTGTCTCATAATAACTTCACGTTCGCGCTGCTCCATATCTCCGTGCATAGCGGAAACCGTGAAGTCCCGTTCGTGCATGGATTCCGTCAACCAGTCTACCTGTAACATTGAAAATGGATATTTAGTTTCTCATATTATTTAGTAGTAAATGTGTAACTTTTTCCAGTTCAATTAATCTGAAAAATATGAAGAAAAAAAAAAGTTTCTTGGCAAGGTAATATTTTAATAATAAATGTCTAAAACTTTACCTTGCGACGAGTGTTGCAGAAAATTACAGCTTGAGCAATTGAGAGAGTATCATACAAGTCACATAGGGTATCCAACTTCCACTCTTCTTGATCAATTGAAATAAAGAATTGTTTAATACCTTCCAGGGTAAGCTAGAAAGAAAGATTTTTTTTATGCAAACACATTGTAATAAATGGAATGTGGTAATACAATATAGCTTGATAAATAATTTGCAACTCATTCAAAATAGACTTAGAACAATTTCCAAGTTGACAATACAAGTAGATATCAATTTTCATTTTTTATTACGTAATTCTAGTTACATAGCTTAAAAAGTGATGTCATACACCAAGTAGCTTATGTGTTCAAGGTGAGAGAATGCATATCTCATATTACTGTCTTATATCAGAAATAAATAGGTTATTATATATAGGGATTTTATAGTTCTACTAATAATTTTAACATTATATTAACTAAAAATAAATTTTACTGACCTCTTCCTTCTGTACCAAGATACGAACAGGATCTCTCATGAAACATCTAGAGACTTCCAGTACATCATCAGGCATAGTAGCTGATAGCAATATAACTTGAACATCAGCCGAGAGCATCTTAAATACATCATGGATTTGATCTTTGAATCTGAAAAGTATAGTGAACTTTATGAACAACCACTACATCTACTGTATCATAAAGTTAAGTCCATATCCCCTATGTGGGGCATGGAACCAAAACATATTGAGCATGCTCACTAAACATGAAACTGACAACTTCATTCAGCCAATAATAGTAGAACTTGCTTGTCTAAAAACACTTATATACACAACATATATACATATGTATAATATGTTATCAAACACAAAAACTGTTAAAACTTACCCTCTAGACAACATTTCATCAGCTTCATCTAGCACAAACAGTTTAATTGTATGGGCTCTCAGAGCACGACGGGTGATCATATCATAGACACGGCCAGGTGTTCCAACCACTACATGAACACCACTCTCAAGTTGGCGCATATCCTCACGTACATTAGTGCCACCAATGCAAGCGTGACATTTTGCATTTAAGTGATCTCCGAGAGCTATAACCACCTAAAACAGATATTAATATTAAAAAGAAGATTCATGCATAATTTAGTTAATATATATACATAAATGCTTATTAATACAATAATGCTTACTTTTTGAATTTGCTGGGCAAGTTCTCTAGTGGGTGCCAAAATAAGTGCTTGACATTCACGAATACTAGTGTCAATTTGTTGAAGAATTGAAATAGAAAACGTAGCTGTTTTGCCAGTTCCAGACTGGGCTTGGGCAATTACATCACGACCTTGGATGCATGGCATTATAGCACGCTGCTGTATAGCAGACGGCTTTTCAAAACCATAAGCATAAATTCCTCGCAACAATTCTTCTTTCAAATTCATGTCATCGAAGCTTTCCACGACTTCATCCCAGTTGGTGTCGAGTGCTCCGCCAGGTTCCATTCCTGGTGGGCCCTCGTAACCTTGGTCTTTTGCAGGGCCATTCTTCGAATCGTCTGTCCAATCGTCCGATCTAAAAATGGATGGAGTGAAAATGTATATTCAACCAATGGAACGAAACGTTGATATGAGTAAGCAAAAATCAATTTCAGAATAGTATACTGTACAGTCACTCGCCGATATGGGGTATCTCTGTTAAATAAAAGTTGATCTTTTCATGTTTTTTCCAGAAGATAACGGTCTAATGTAGTAAATATCTTTTGTCTAAATTCAGTAAATCTTAAAACACGTGCGCGGTGCCGGATTAGTAATAAATGATCGACCAGCGCCATGTTGGCAGTCGGCGACCGTGAAGCACAATTTTCTATGTAAATGTTCATAAAATCACTATTTTAACGTGCTGTTTCTACTCGGTCAAATAATTAGACTTTTTTCTCAAATTTCTTCAAAAAAACAACATAATATTGAACATAAAACTTATCTTACCTTGTTTCAGGGGAATAAGACATGTTCCAATCGCGGTAGCTGAACGGAAAAGAACTAGCAAGGTCAAGTTAAGTTTAGGCGAAGCTTTTAATGAATTTTTAAAATCAAATATTTAACCAAAGTATTGAATGTTGTAAATTTTGTATTTGAAAATATAATTAACGAAACACTGGAGATTTTGAAATAATATTAATTGCTGAAAAGACGTGAATAACTAATTTATAAGTATTTAATACAACGGAAGTATAAAACTTATTTCTTTCTAGCAACACCGAGTCAAATGCCAAAGCCTATTGATTATCATAGACAGAAATTTAGCATTGGGCATTGGCTCGTTTTGTGATTTAGATGAGGGTGCGTTCGCAATCTAATGATAGTATAATAGTTATTGGATTATTATTTTCTAATGTTTTATTTATTTTTCTGTTTCCTAACAATAAAAAACGTACTTATGATTAATGATTATTAAATAGGTTTTTTTCATTAGCAGGAGCGTACATGAATATACATTTGTTTTATTCTTTTCTGCCTTAAATGAAGTTATGTAAAGTAGTTAAGAAAGAAAATTTTATGCAAAATTTTAGCCTTAACAATAAAGTTAAATATTACAAAACTTTTAAGTTTATTTCGAGAAAAAATAATAATAAGATGGATGGAAAAATACGCAACCGCAACTATATTCTATCTGAAGGTTGGCATACATCATTTCCTGTTTTTTCTACTGTCTCTTTCGTGTCTATGTGCACGCTGCCATTTTGGAACGGCAGTGCTTTTTGTTCGTGTGGAGCGTTAGCTCGTTGCAGCGATAAGACTGTGTTATAGCAAAGTTTAGTTTTAATTTTTAAGAACTTAAGCAAAATGAGCTGGCAAGATTATGTTGACAAACAGTTAATTGCATCCAGATGTGTTTCAAAGGCAGCAATTGCCGGTCACGATGGAAATGTCTGGGCCAAGTCCGAAGGATTTGATGTAAGTTAATAATACCCTTTGTGATAAGTGCCATTTAGAAATATTAGTTTGTATTTGTTGAAATCGGGCGAAAATGGTAATTTAACGGCTTATAGTCTTTTTAAAATTTTAAGTCGCCAAGTTGAAGTTGACAAGATGGCGACATGTGGTTGCAACCTGTTCCTATTGGAAGTTGCTTATTAATTACACATTAAAAGAAAAAAACAAAGTATTTACACTCTCATTATGCTTGTGATATAATTTGTCACAATTTTATTGGCGAATCCACTAGTTTAGCAGATTAAAACTCTTTGTTAGACGCTGCCGGCCGGTATGTTTTTGGAAACTTGTAACCGGGTACACGTCTTGACTTCGCTGACGCACAATATTGTAAAAAATGAATCATCACTTGTGATCGTTCGTTATCTCATAACGTATTGAGTTTTTAAATGTAATATTTTTAGTAAACGTATAGGAAAACTTGAAATCTGCTGTTCTGTGACATAATGAAGTCTGCATTAAGAAACTTAATAAGCTTTTAGGATTAGATTAACATTTAAACCAGACTTTTATATTATATGTATATAGAGGTTAGGCCATCATCAACCCTAGTGTTACTTCTATTAAAGCTATGGTGTAGAAATCTATTAGTAATGTGCAACTTTTTTTTTTTTTTTAATTTTATATGAACGTTAATTACTTTTTTTAATATTTTGCAGCTTAATTTTATTCCTTTTTTTGTAGATTGATCCTTTTTTGCAGCTAGTTAATGGTAACTTCAAATTATTTAAGCACTTGTTCATATCAGCAAATGATCTATAGTAACAACGTAATTTAATTTAATAGCTAAGCAACAATTTGATTTTTTTTTTCGTATGCTATTGCAAAAGATAGCCTTATATAAATAAAGAAATTAATTTAAATAAAAAAGAAATGAAACACAATTTCATTGATCATTTTTAATTTATATCAACAAATTATTTTAATGCTGTAAAGGTGTTATACGGTCAATAGTACATAACTGCAGGTTGTATTACATATTCAGAATGAATAAAACATTAAATTTTTTAATTCTGTTACTGTAAAGAGCATCTTAATATGTACATATAATCTAGAATATTTTTACTGGCTCTACACTGTTATTGGAGTTGCAACACAATTAACCAATTTATCATCAAAAGTTCAAATAGTAGTAACGATAGTTTGTTCCATAAAAAAATATTTTTAGCTGATGCGCTAAGCAAAAATGCCCAAAGATTTGTAGTCACTGAAAATATTATAATAGTAAATAGTTTCTCTTCTTTAAAATTTGCCTTTAGATATCAAAAGATGAAGTTGCAAAAATCGCCGCTGGTTATGAAAACGAATCACTCCTCACAAGTGGTGGTGTAACGATAGCAGGCACCCGGTACATCTACCTCAGTGGCACAGACCGCATCATACGCGCAAAGCTTGGCAAAGTTGGTGTGCACTGCATGAAGACACAGCAAGGTAGGCATTTAGTAAAGCAATGGCATTAATATTTAAGTTTAATAATACTATATTCCCCCATTCCTCCAAACTCATTATGACTCAATAAGACTCCCTAAAAGATGATATAGGGTGGCATTATTGAGTCTATTTCACTAATCAATTATTTTATGTTAGGTTATTACAGGAGTAATCATAAGGCATTTAATCAACTTTATAACTCTGCCTGACAAGACAAAGTATATTATGATTGTCTCGATTTTCTTCTTGGCTATTTTATATTCTATGCAATACAAATTATCTTTGTCTTTTATTATTTAAGGAGGATAAATCTATTCTAATTGGTTACCCAAATCAAAGAAGGGCCTCAACTGCTGCGAGGTGTATTATATAACCCAAAGTTAGCTATAACAAAAGAACATTTCTTGATTGTTTTTATTATACAAATTCAGAAATGAATTTTATAACAGTTCATAAATCTTTAATAATTGATTATACTGTAAATTTCATATCCTTGAAATTTTCAGGAATTTATTAATCATAAATGAATGCTAGTATTATAATTATGTACCTTATTATAAATCATAATTATTATATTTCACAAAAAATAATAATGTAATATTATTATTTTTGTGAAATATAGATTATAATTTCTATACTGCTCACTTAGTTCTTTTAGGAATTACTTTAATTTTGCCCTTTTTGCAGCAATTGTTATATCTCTGTATGAAGAACCAATTCAACCCCAACAAGCTGCATCTGTAGTGGAGAAGTTAGGAGATTATTTACTTACCTGTGGATATTAAAGGTAGCAAAATTGTTATATTTTGAAATTGCTTGTGTCAAACTTTATTATAAAATACCAATTCTTTCCAGATCGAACGCGCCGTGGACTAAGATACGATAAGATAATATTTTTTCCACAGGGAAATAAGTAACTGCATTTTGTATATTCTATAAAAGTGATAAGAATCGTTCATTTGTTTTGATATTTGATGAAATGGCGTCATCAGTGTCTGATGCGCTTAGTAACTGTGTCCAGATACAATTACTTTGCGGATTCTGGACCCTTTTTTACACGCTCACCGCTTCCACAGAGTAATTGTTGCTGGATGTGGCTTAAATTTATATTTCAAATTTGCTTTTATCGAACCATGCAGTGAAGAATTATATCTTCGCTAGCCGGTCCCAAAGTATGATGTATAGAGATTTTTTTTATTTCTTTTCAAGCATTCTGTCATTTAATAATAATAACTGTATATCTTACATATTCGTAATAATAAGTAATGGCTTATCGTAAACAAGGCTAATTTTATACGACGGGAATGCTACAGATTGGAGTTGCTTTTGCGAGCAGATGCTTGACAAGAAATTATTTTAACCACGTAATGAAATTACTGTAACAATATACAACATAATTATATATGTAACATTTGTGTTAGGGCTTGTTATGAAATGAAAGACACTGTAACCCAAGTAAAAATATTACAATTTTAATGAAAAATCTCTAGTCCCACTGGAACCATCGTGTGAAAAATATGTCCAATGTAATTTGAGCGTGTGAGAGGGAGGCGGCTCAGCGCAACCGCACGCCCAACTGTTTTTTTGCTATGCTTCTTTTTTGATTATTCCGCATTTACAATATCGTGTAGTGAAAAATAAACATTTGCATTCTGTTTTAACTCTTAGCTGCAATAACTAGAAGCGCTCAATTATTATTATTAACCTTTATCCTCAAACAAGGCTTGCAGTAAACGAAGGGTGCATATTGTTTATATTTGATATTACTACTATAGCTTTGTACATTGTTTCTGATAAGCGATGGGAACTGTGTCTATCTAATAATAAATGATTTGTATTATATATAACTTGTTATTTTATTCATACCATAGAAGCTTTGGATTGCAATAAAACCATGTTTGCTAATGAACATAATTTATTTTCTTTTGACAAAATCTACAGTAATAGAGATTTAAGTACACTCGAATACAAGATTGGTATAAAATGTTAAAACTGTAGTCTTAAAAATGACTTTGGTTCTTAGAAGTTATTCAATACAAGATTCCTTTCGTAAGCCTAAACTACGACAAAAATAGTAGGTACATAATATATTATGTAGTTTTCAAAAGAATTTGTGCCAATAGCCTTCGTGTAGACCTTTACATATTAGTGAAAATAACCATTAACATCATAATATTAAGTTAATCACAATCATTAAAAACATACTTAATACTTACTACATGGGGATCTAGGTATTAGCTACACGCCTATTTTAATTGCGTCGACTAAAGTGACTATTTTCTCATACTGCAATAGTACAGTTAAAAACAATTTTGAAAGTAAGGCTAATATAATAAATGGACAGTATTATGTAGTATTAGAATTTACTTCGAGATCTGGGTGGAACTGTTTTCAAATATAAACTAGGAAGGATTTTTTGGGTAAGCTACAAATTGTTTTATCTGTGAAAATAATAATCACTTAACGCAGAATTGTGTTGCTTTCGCCTCAACACGTTACTTTAATTTGATGTCACGTTATAGTTGTACGAACTATCTATTGCTTTAATAGTTATATTCAGTAAATTTTTAATCCACTTTAAAGTACGAGGTTGGAAGCTAGTTTAGCCCTGTTACAACTACGCATTTGTCAAAAGCCACATTCACACGTGTACACTATTTTTTAAAATATATACGCTTAATAGAATATTATTTATACTTATTACGAATAAATAAGTGTAAAACATTATCATGGTGGATAGTTGTGCGCAGTTACAGTTAACGTGCTACAACAGAGACCCGAAGTCTTTGACGATCACGATGTGTTTATCCATGAACACGGATCCCATATGTCAAGTCATGGATGTTCTAACGAATAATGCCTAGATTTTTTCCATAGGTTTCTAAAGAATCCTTTACGTTGCTTCTGGCCCGGATGCTCCTCACCTGTTAACAAGATTACGTATAAGTATTTTCATTGTGCAGAACATTCCATAACACATATATTATGATTTATGATAAGTTTTACCAAGAAATAAACGCAAATGATCTAATTTTATAAAAATAGCAGTTATCAATCACTCGAAACGTGATAGTGCACACGGCTTACGTAATTTCGAAAACGTAACTATTTTGAAGAAAAAATCATAAATATTAGTAATAAAAGGACCAGTGCACAAATTCTGTATTTATTATAATTAATTGCCACGGTAGAACCACATAATCATATCTCCCATGCTCTTATATCCGCATTAAAATTACGGAAAAAGGGGCCTCATTATTAAAGTTGCAAGGGAATACGAAATTATTCAAAATTAATATGCATTCAGCGACGAAGTCGCCTAACGTTAGTAGGGCATCTAAGAATAGTACTTCAGTCATGAGATATTTTCCAGCACACGTCCCAAATGCTTTGCGTGCTGCCAAAAATAGATTTCATAATCTCGACATCTGACTCCGGTCAAGAGAATTTATGAATACTTACATAATAAGCTGAATCCAACATTTATTTACATGAATATTACAATAAATGTAAGATCGGGTTTCGTCGAAAAAAATTCACTTAAAAATAATTCTAATTTCATCATTATCTTAAAGAGAGTTAGGCGCGTTTAGAAAGTTCACGATGATTCATGAAATCATGGACAGATTGTGGATGTGGACCCATTTTCTATATATAGCATGCGCAGTGGAGGCCGGTCGCGTCAAGTTCATTGGCTAGACTACCCGCAAAGATAGTGTACAAGATTATTGATTGCAACTGTGTACGAACATTTTGGAAAAATATAGATACACCATTTTTATTTTGAAACATGGTCTGGAATAGTTAGTGAGAACTATAACGTTCATTAAGTGTCTAACTAAAACGTCGCTGTAACATTCGACGCAGACATGGTATTTAAGGAACTTATCTGTATTCTAATGGTTCCCTAATAATGACGCACCTTACATATTCAATCAGAGTATGTAATAAGTAAATGAATAAGGAAGATAGAATAGTCAAAGCTTGCGTTGTGCCGGCGTTCCCGGAATACTAACGAACAAGAGGACAATATTGATCACGCTGAGCAGATACCTACACCGGAGACTACTATCTACACTCTACTAGATATTAAAACAAGGAAATGGTACTAGAGTATTTAGAGGAAATATAAAGCAGTTTAATATGGGTTAAAAGCTCGGAAGAGAGATCGTGTCCTTGACGTTTTCTAGGCAGCGTCGTTGGTAATTATTTAAATTACATTAGCTATCTAATCAGGTCACGAAGATCGTGTTGGGGAAGAACCGCGTAGGTTTGGAGTGGGTGCTAGGGTTACGGGGGAAAGAGGGTGCAGAGTGGGAGATGTAGGGTTCGTCGACTCTTCGGTGAAGGGCAGCGAGGTCGGTGCTCGGTGCGTTCGCTTTCGACGCGGTCGCGGAGCGCCGAGAACCACGGTATTGATCCACAGCCTCCGCTCTCCCGCAACGATTCCGTTCCGTACCGTGCTTTGAGCCCTCCGCGTCTCGGCCCACCGTTAAATAATTCCCCACAATGGGATGACGCTATGAACAAACCAGACAGACTGTCGCATTTTTATACAACCATTCAAAATCATTGTCTGCTGTTGTTTAAATGATATTTTTAAAATGGCTCTATGTATGGCTGTGTCATGGAAGACTAAAATAAGCATAATTTGGCACCATCACGAAATATGTCTTATTCATAGATTATTGTTGGATTCATAGATATGAAGAGAATTATAATAACTTCTAATTAACGTAAACTGTTATTGTTAGTAATAATAGTTTTAGGGGTCAATACTCGCGCGACATTGGTATTTCGATAAAGTAAATTATGTTAATGACATTGATTTGGATAATTCAGAATTGTTTGTTATTTCGAAACATTGCTTAAGATAATGTGTAATTTTAGACACAACAAATGCTTAAGTTTTTACAAAATGTTAATATGAGAGTTTAGAAAAGAGTAACAGCATTAATTTACCAAAGAGAAAGCCATATTACGTCGACCGAGGATTTCATAAAGCCATTTCGATAGTAACATCCGAGACTAATTGAATGTTTAGAACAAAAATCGTGAAAGTAACCACACTTTTAATAATATGTGTTAATTATGAACGCATAATAAGCCTAAGCTAAAACTAAATTAACGCGGTTCATATTAATTGCAAAAGTAATTCTCTTCAAATATCGAGTAATTAATTGTGTACATTTTATTTCATGAAATTTCTTCTCCACCAATAATTAACTAGTAATATAATAATCTGAAATATCTGTGTACAGTTAATAAAAAAATGTCAATAAATAAAACTCATGATGAGTTTTTCTTTCTTTATATTGCATGTTTCTTTCGTGTTATTCGAAAGTTTGAAATACATTTAAGATAACTAACAGTGAAGGTTAATTACAAAGAAATGTGTTAAACATGTTGGTAGCGATTAGTTTGTTATCACCAGCTTGACTCACTTGTCTCTTAATGGGGTCCACCACGGTATGTACATCACTGTTTTTACATACCTTTAAACATTATACTTTAAATAATGGTACGATTTATTATTTAGTATATGAATTCTATACTATATGTACAAGTAAGTAGTATCTACCCACAATAATGGTAACTAGTAAGGTGTCGAATACTGTGGTTTACGCGAGTAGTACACATTTAAATAAAACATTTTAACGGTTTAAAATACGATATATATATTAGTTAAACTTATTTGAAAACTATTTTAACTTTTAGTCTCCCCGTGACCACGGCTGCTGAAACGTTAAAATAAGTTTAACTAATATATATCGCGTTTTAAACCGTTTAAATGTTTTATTTAAACAAGCTATTGAATCCAATAAGCGAATTAGTTTCTGCATTTTTTAAAGGACTTATTTTCCAGTTATAAGTATGGAGGTATTAACTTCCAAGTAACCACCCTTGTCTCTATAAATAGTTATTACCACATTACGTAAAACTTGCCTATCTAAATCTTTATGACGTAAATGCACCTTTCTTATTGTTGGAAAGTAAAAAATAATTATGTCTTAATTAAGCTAATATTCTCAAATCCGTTGTTGAAAAATAAATTATTAATTATTATTGTAGACGAGCCAGTTCAATGTACTCAGCACGAGAATGTAGGTATAACTTTAGCAATAATAATTGCGCTCAGTCATTACTTCTATCGATATTTCACAGCGTTATTTATTTGACGGGGGCATCTTTATTGATGTAAGTAAATGAATATTTATGACGAGATAAAAATATATTCTAAAATATTTATAATAAAGTTCCAAATTATAAGAACGTTTTTTCCACATCTGAATTACTGAAAATACACATATACTGATTTTAGTGGAGTTCTATTAAATTATATGTGACGGATTATGTTTTAATACGACACGGATAACATTACGCGATTTTCTAATGAATGGAAATCTTACTGTAAGCATACACCACATGTTTACTATCCTAATAAATAGGTATTTCGTGAGATATTTTACTGGAACGAGTCCAAATAACTGAACTGGTGTTTACTAGCCTTGCCCGAAATAAACTCGAAACGGTGTTGCTGAGGTAAAGTTACAGAACGCATACTAAAATACGTAAAACTTACAGGTATGCTAAAAAATCTAAAATATTAACAACTCAACCTTAAAACACGCTAAGAATCGAGAAAAGTTTATTCGTTGCCTAATTACAATTACATATAGCATCTAATTACCGTGGTGGTGCAGTGGTACAACGCGTTGCCTAGCAACAAGTTTGAATTCTGTTTCTGATTGAAAATTGCAGGGAGATAGAGAAGTTTAAAAAATATCAGTAAGAACGGACGCTGTAGCCTGTAATATGTCTGCCATGGAGCACGTTACAGCTCCTGGAGAATACGGGACTTGTAACTAGACCGATTAGAAATATTAGTTATTAAAAATATAGGAACAATATCATGGTGGGTTTTATATGAATATAATAAGTATTTTTACCATTATTCAGAGGAAAATAAGGATAGAATATAATATATAGCTACGATTCGAATATAAGATTATTCAATTAAATTTTTCAACAATTAATATGTTCCTTCTCAAAATTTTAATTAATTAATTTCTTTCGGATTTCTTAGCATATTTCTCTTATTATCTAGGTACAATACTCATTAGCCACTATTTGGTTTAGTGATTATTAGAGTTTTACTGTTAGCGCAAGTCCAGTCGGTCATTGACCAACGCCTTCAGTGAATCTCAAGATGTAATAGGTAGATTTGGAAAGATTTTTATTTTATAACATAAGCTACAACTTATGAAGATAATAATTTGGGTTCCGTACCCAACAGTGAAATAAGATTATAATCATAATGAAGCGAGACTACGGTATTTTTCCATCCAAGATGGATGAGTTTTGATTGTTGAACAGCTGATATAGATGATGTATTTTTGTTGCCACGAAACAGAAAAATACTAAAAAACAGAGCAAAACACATTTCAATATTTTTGCATATTAAACATATATTTATAATGTCAACCAATTTTCATTAAAACGACACGCCACGCAAAGCATAATATAATTTGAGACTTAACAAAGTAGCCAGCTGCCCTCTGATTCTCAAGGGAATTTGGAGCCATGATGTCATTGATTAAAATTAAAATTATTTGTGAATTATTCTTTTAGTCTTTATGCTTCCATGTGCCTTATTTTTATAATTTTAATAATCCTGGTCATATTATTATGGACAATTTATAATTATTTAGTTGTCTCTATACATACTTAATACGATATAGTGTAGTAATTTATTATTTATCTAAAAAGTTACTGATTCGTCACGTAGTTACATAGTTTGACCGTGTCTTTTTCCTATCAGCTGAGTGCTTGCTGTTGTCAATGTCCAAGTTCATTATTGTTTATAACAATATGCATAGATAGGGCACGAACATTTTAAATAGACATGACGTAACTCATCCATTGAACTTAGGTAGTTACAGATGAAGTAGCTGTGTCAGCGACTTCGTTCGCGTAGAATACTTATTTTGGCCATCCATATTTGTTTTTGCAAACCCCTCTTCATCTTCAAAAATTTAAGCTGTTACCCACGACATCGGTTGCGTCGTTAATCTTAATTAAAAACAAATTTAGTCTTACAAGAGGTCATTATTTTCTTATTTTTGGGTGTCTTGAACCCTTTTTGCAGGGTACGCGCATCGGAAACCTACAGAGATGAATAATTTTCCCAGTTTTTTCCACATTTCCAGCTGTTTCTTCGCTCTTATTAGTCACATGTTTTGTAGTAACTTAAGTAACTTTCTTCTATAAATGCTCTAATGAACACAAAAATATTTTTTTCAAATCGAACCAGTAGTTCCTGAGATTAACGCGTTCAAACAAACAAACTCTTCGACTTTATATACTAGTATAAATGAAGATATAGATTACACAGTACACATTATCTATTCCCATATTTGATGTATAAGTTTATACTATTGAAAACGAAAGTGACTTTCATTGAATATGATCAGTTCCAGAAGTACATGGCTACGTTATAATATTTGCATAACCATCGTTGCATGCAATGTAAACTATACAAAGCTCCAGTTCATTGTTTTCTGTACGCACTGTCCAATCGTGTGTCTCATATAATCAAAGACATAAGATTGATTTATCGTATTTAACAAAGTTTAATTTATAGCCTGGAAGACGTAGAAGTGTGATAATGACAGGGACGATATCGAGCGTAAAGACCTTAAGCGGAGGGAAAAAATACCAATTTCCGCGAAATTGTATGAGGCGGACAGTCCTATTCGTATAATCGCTGACACCCCTGCAGCGAGGGGCGAGGGGCGGAGCGCGGGGCAGGGTGCGGCTTGCGCAGCGTCGTCTCGGGGTGAATAGCGTTTAGGGTGGCACGCGGCTGCGCGCTAGAGGCCCCAGCTAACCCTCCAGACGCAGCATGTGTGCGATATCAACCCCCCCTCGCCCCGCAAACAACCCTCACCATTGGAAACCGAATAATGATTAAGCACTCATTCACGGTCTTGTGCCTACGTATTCTATTTAAAAGCATCGTGGAAACTCCTAATTTGTACGCTTCTTATAAATAATATGTTGCAAATAATGGAATATTTGATAAGTACTTCAAATCGATATTTACCGTTGGCAGATCGCGCCGCTGGTGATGTAGCCTCCTTGTTTCGGGTACTCTCTTTTTCCTTCCCATTGTTACCTGCAGCAAATAAATATTTTACAGCTAAATAAAGAATAGAATCTTTAGTGATCCCTTCAAGAATGTATTTTCGAAGTGATTCCTTCATATGGGAGGGTAAACCGTTTCGAAACGTAACGCGTTACGGCAGTAAAGACTAAGTACAAGTTACTACTTCTGGGAAGACTGGGACATTTCTGTGCTTATTCACTAATTATTACTATTACTATTCACTAATCGAATGCATTTAAAGGACGTCCGACACAATTTATAGTTTACCTGGGACTAAATTAAGTACCAGACTTGCTTAAAAATACTAATAATTTGTTTAACCATTTAGTTACGGAGACATTCGGATTTCAAGGCAGGATGTGATTAATTCTTCTTTCACGAAACTTATTAATAACTACGATAAGAAGCATTTATCCATTACTAATCGCCAAAAACATCGTATTTAATAAAGGCATTCAGCAAACGAATTTACCAGTAAAAATGATATGGATTGATAAATTTTCCGAGCATCTTATCAGTGTCAATAACATTTTGCGAAATACGCTTTTTCGCTGTATGATGTACGTCATAGAACAACTTTATGTCGGTACACCATACTTCCATCGAGCTTAGTATAAACTAGTTTAATATCAATTGAAACCGGAAACATTGTATAGTTGACGGAGGACTGAGTAGGGAGGAGGTCGGTCGCAGTTTGTTCCCTGAAGGATCCTTTTTGTGGCGGCTCACGCCAGTCCAACCGGTTGTGAGAACATTCAACCCGGCAGACCATTCGCAAAACATACTGTGATTTTTAACCATGCGAGATGTATTTATAATTCACTAGTTGTGTCAGCGACTTATTTTGGGCATCAAAATTTGTTTTTGCAAACCTCCTCTTTATCTTCATAGATATTTATATACCTTATAGCTTTTAAATAAAACACTTTAACGGTTTACCAGTACGGGCTGGAAAATGCAAACAAAGTACTACTGGCGTAAACTATAGACAGTATTTATCTTATAGCTTTTGCCCACGACGTTGGTCGCGTCCCGTCGTTCTTGCAAGTTAATTTTAAAAGATAGATATATAGCGTTGCGGACATTTTTTTAAATAATTTAAAGAGGAATCATTTTTACACATTTTGCGTATCTTGAATTGTTTTACACACACAAAGAAAACCCACAACGATGAATGATCTTTCCCGTTTTGTCCACATTTATTGCCTTTCTTCGCTCCTATTAATCGCAGCGTGTTATACAGCCTTCTACAATAAATGCTCTACCCCATACCTAATGAATTTTTCAATTCCCACCAGTAGTTCCTGAGATTAGCGCCTTCAAACAGACGACCAACAAACTGTTCGGCATATTAGTATAAATTTAAATTATCACAATGAATCCGCTTTCATAACAACGGCTGGATACTTAGTGTATTATTAGGTTATGTATGTGGTAAATAGTATTATTGTTTTATTGCACCTATGGCTTGCGATTGAAGGCGGATGAACCGACCTTGGCAGTGGCGTTGACTCGCACGGCCTCAAATCAAATCTAACCGTCCTCGTCGCGACTCAACGCCGTACTTGACACAATATGCTTGCCCAATACTACCAAAGCACGATATACACGATCGCATTTTGACGGGGCCTTAGTCCAATGGTAGCAATTTACGGCTAACAAGCAACGGTTCTAATATTTTTCTAATCAATTTATATGACATGTGAAACATGAGCTCGAAATAAAACGGATATTATTTAATATCCTGATTTCCAAACGCCCATTTGGGTAGGAATATCGTAATTCTGTAAGGTCACGAACCACTGTCCAAAGACATCCAAACACACATCCAAAGCGTTGCTCGATAGCGATAGATTCATCAACTAATATCGTATATACATACATATAAGCATTTTTGTAGTGTGGTAATTACCTGCACGAAACAATTATCTTAGTTTTAGTGTCACCATATAAAACTTCAAAACGACATAGGTATAGCATATGCTACGCGTGGTAATAATGTTAATTCTTTAACTGTTGTTTTTGCTTCTTCGTCGGTTTATAACTGCCTAAATATGTGGATTACCATCTACCGAGCTTAGGTTTTTAAACAGATGTGACGACATATTAAACGCCATTTTACAATATCCGAGACAGCGATGATGGATCATTGCTTGAAATACGCATGTCGACATAGTAACAACAGGAAAAACCATGAATATATGTTGGTCCGCCTTTAATAAAAGACTGTTTATTAACATTTGAACATATCAATGCGTTAAAATTAGAATTATATGCCTTATCGTTATTGTTGGTATAAGCTGGATAAATAGAAATATGTAAACGAAATTTTGTATTATTGTTATATATTAACGAATTTACAGACTCAAGAGTATTTATTTAAAGTAAGTAAGTAAAAGAAAGTTTCATGAACAATACTATAGGATAAATTTTGTATACGTATCTTACTGTAGTAAGTCATACCTTTAGTCAAGGAATTTGCTAAAGTTCCCCTAATTAAATAACAAGTCTCAACGCCGATAAAAGTACAAGTAACTTTTCTATACACTTTACATACGCACATTTTAACAATGGGGCCCTGCATGTCTGCTTTTATGAGAGTGATGTTACAAAAGAATGAGCTTTAAGTCGAGCATGGCGCCACGATCAAGTATTGAGTTACTAAGAAGTTGTGTACTTCGACCTTTACTGTACTTGAAACTAATGTAATATGAAGCAGAAAGTACGGAGTAATATTTAAGTATTTATAGCTACACAGCTGGGCAGACGATTTTCCAACAGGAGAGTGGTTTAGGAGCACAAACTACTAAATCGGTACCGGTACCAACTCTCTCTTTCACTCTCCGAAGCATGCGAGCAATAACTCCTCCTAAGATTTCTCTTAACCCAGACATCGAACTTTTACAAAACCCTCAAAGAAACTAAAAGGGTAGTTAATGCCTTGATGGAATACCTAACGTCTAGAAGGCATACATTTTGCATTTTATAACCGACTGTACCGTGCCATATGGCTTCAATGGCTGTCAACGTCGTGCACATGCCCATAAAAGCTTTTAGGTTATACCTATAAATGCTTATGTCGTGTAGAACGGACAACAGATGTTAAAAAATATTAAACCACAGAGTCAAAATCCTTTACTATGGGATTTCCTAATATTTTAGTCAGCAAAAGAGCTTTCGCGAACGCAGGTAGTGGATGTATCATCGACCGGATGTAGTCGTAGATTTGGTCGATGGCGGATGTGTCGCCATTTGCATGCGCGGCGTGCTCTCGATAACAATGCGCAGAAGGGTCGGGACGGGCCGGAATATTGAATGCAACTATGTACTACTATAAAACATTGATTACATTACAAACGGTTTTATAAATGGCATAAAATATAGGTACTCAAGTATGTTTCACACCACTCTTATAAAAACATAATTATTGTGCACGTGTTCGATGCAACATAGATTAAAATCTATTTTTGATTCATAAGAAATGACGCTAATGGGACTCGAACTAAATAACCGCAGATCGCTGCTCTGTGGCCTATAGCTACATATGTTATTTTGTTATAGAATTAAATTAATGTTCCTAATATACAAACAACTCCTACATAGGGCCATATTGATTCTTATCGAATAAAATGTACGTATATGTAGCTACAGTATATGTAACTGCTGCGTGTAGTGTCTTTCCGAAACCGCAAAATTGATTCTCCGAATTTAAACCCCCAAGAAAGAACTAGGGATAATTTCGGGCAGGGCACAGTAAGGCTGAGCTACATGCCTGTATACACAACGGAATTTAACTTTTTCTACGATTATGTAGGTAAAAAACCACACCCAATACATTCAACGGGAAAGAGATTACGTATTTCCGTTTCGCAGCTTCCCTTGATAATTTTTTTGAAAGATGTATTATCACATTTCATATTATGGAACGAGTTGATACCGGCAAATCGTTGGTCGATGTTCGTGTATGGCAATATACAGTTACATAAAGTATTATCGCTGATAATATAATATGGTCATATCAGTTTTCTTATCATTACCGCTCACGAACAAAGGAAAAAAGGAGTGTTGTTACCTGTAATTTTTGATAAAAGTGTAATTCTGTTTCCCATTTAAGCGTAGATACATATTGATGTGCCATTTTCATTGATAGTTGTTGAATTTACAATGATAAATGAAGTAGTTAACAATGCTTACTAATATTTCTCGTGGATGAATATAGAATCTCTCGCGCTTATCACAATTCAAATTAGCAAATTTTACACTTGAGCATCCACGGCGACTTCATCTTATATTTGTTATTATACGAATTATAAATATAATTATAGACTTTTGATTTATGCTATGCAACAAAACAGCTTGTGTTTTGACTTCTGATTAAAATTAAACACGGTACAGCCTCCAAAATAATCTCTAACGTGTACAACAAGGTCGCATGAGTATCTGGGTGAGTCGCGATTTATTTCTCCCATCATCGAGATAGCAGTTAGGTCATATGTAGGGCGCAGGCACGGCCAAGTGCCGGCCTCAAAGCCTGACCGGTTGCCATCTTTGGCAGCGACCGGTTTTATCAGCATAGGTACACGCTCTTTGTAACAGTATGTTCAATGATTCTACTTTTTATTCTGAAAGCTAGCAATGACACGTCCGTTTTCGAAATGCAAACTTGACAACTTTCTCGGGACACATATTTTAATTGGCTTTATTGAATTAAGCGTTGTAATGCCCACGCTGTTATTTATTGGGTACATTGTATGTACTCAAACTATTAATTAGTGAGTTATATGTAAAGATATCCTCCCTCGCAGTAAAACTCAATGTGAGTCACCGAAGCTGCTAGGAACGTTTAGGCTGTGGTCTCCTATTAGTCGTAGCCAGAGTTTTACTTCGCGGCTTACGCATTCTTTTAGGTGACATTGACGTGTGCAACCCAAATAACTGTGTAGTTATTTCGAAATATCGTAAACATAATTTATATTTAATAAGACACTTATTGTTTGGCGATTACTGTTTAGAACGATGCCTTCCGTGCACGAAAAGTGACAACTGATCAATAGGATGTATTAGTTGATGTTTACTATACTAAACTAAAAATATACTGAGAAGGACAAAAAATTACGACACGGATGGGACTTGAAGCGATATCCACAGCGTTCCGTGCTGCTGCTCCAACCAATTGGCTACCATGTGAACTATACGCGGCGTAACGTAAAAAATGTCCATTTGTATTTTTGGTCTTTATAGGAGACCGAAGCTTTAGGGCGAGCAGTTGGCGTCGCCTGAATCATTGCACGCCATACCACTATGCACATAATATTGATGTCGCAGGTAACAGAATCGCCATTGTATGCTAGATGCTATTGTGCAGCCAAAACTTTTGAGGTCCCCTAACCGATTGTTAGACTTATTGTTATATTGTTCTCCGTTTTGAATGTGAAGATGGTGTGGGCTTCAGATCAGAACAATAACTTTATCAATGTAGTTCTAGGATTCACCCTGTTAATAGTAATAAATACGTAAATATTAGAATTAAAAATACGGGACAAAGCATAAATACTCATAAATCGATATTTACGAAATAATATAGAATATATATTGTTATGAACTCAATTTATATTTAAATAAGATATGAAGGTAATAATTAACAAACACGATTAATCTTTGTTTGTGCCAGACAGGAAATAATTATCCATATGCATACTATATAATAAGTAAAGCAGTTTCAATTTAGTTTCCCCATACATTCCTCTATCCGTCATTTTAGTGATAAAGTTGCAATAATAATATTGATTCGCGTTACGCACTTGTTCTAGACCAGTAGTGACATCGTGTGGCAATATTGAGAATTAATTTGAACCTCTTATTTTACGGCGTTTCATTACTTTGGTTGTGAGTGAAATCTAAATGTATATACGATTTATTTATAGATTTAGAGTTAATTTAAAATGCGTTGAACATTACTAACAATAAAAAATATACCAATAAACTAAGCGATTACGTTAAAAATTGTATTCCTTGCGTCAATACTTCTTAGTTTTAATCATAAAGCAATACATTTTTTTTACTTCAGTTTTCTACATTTTTACCTATTAATTACTAAACTCATTCACATATAAGTTTCACAGATTGACTAAGCCATGACAATATTATAAAGACTTATTATTTCACCGTATAACGAAAAAGTTCAAACTCGTGTTGCTCGATGCAGATGTGTTACATATTGCATAATTTTGCTGGTTTATAAATAAAACACCATTAAATTGGATTCTATAGGCATTATGCGCGAAACGCACAAGTACTGCACTGTAACAATAACGCTTTAAGAATACTTTGCTTTGCTAATTTTCTTTATCTAATAAAAAACTTGCTAAGTCCGAACTGATTTCTCTTTCTGTTTAAATTTTAGTCTGCTCTTAACGCCGTCGCTGAACGTTTAGATATTAAGACTTAGTTTGTACGAATATTTTATTGTCTGTTTTTAGGGGACAGACATTTGTTGGAAGATGAAATACCCGTCATTTAACATCGATTGTCAACCATCAACTGTCGACCCATTTTTAATTTCGGAAAATGCACAGACTGAAACGGAAACACAATTAAACATCGCGGCATTTTCATCTGTTGAACGTCGTTTGTGACCCGGACGAAATCTAAATATGCTTGCCACCCATATCAGACGAAGTACTATTAGGTACGACACTTTGATCCCTGGGATTGAACCTATTGCCGTTAGAAGCCGTTGATTATTAGCAATACACTACCTACCATTAGACCAATAAACTTCTTAATAAAACGCATATGTAAGTATTTATTATTATTTTGTGTTGTTTCTTTTATACAGTATAACGTTGGTGCCGCAGAAGTATAGACAATTTGTATTTGTTCAAACGTAAACAAAAACCTCTAGATGAAACTACAGTCATTCGTACTTATAATTATATTATATTATATAAATAGAAATTGATTATCGATCGAAAAAAAATTACGACACGTGGTATCACAATGTCATCGTCGGATTGTTCAAGATACCTCTCGCGCAATCAGTGATATAATGCCATAATGCGCAATAACGTGTGAAAAATATGAAAGTTTTTAAACACGTACCTTTTCGTATTAATAAGCTCGTAACTCTTCGAAGAGCTTCTCTGGGTGATTTTTGAAAGAATTTTGGGGTTAAGTTCGGCGGTAACGTAAGCGGTTTCCGAGCGGCGGAATTGTCCCATGTCACTGCATGATCGGCTGCCATTTTTGATGACGATATTCTGTCCAGGTGTTCAATAGAGGCCGGCCTGTCAAAATGATAATATATTAATGCCAAGTACAGAAAAGTATACAATATAGTTTACTTTAAATATAAGGGTGAGGGCCACGGGCAGGACTTAAATTATTTTTGCATATTTAACATGCTTTGGTATATCTAATGGATATGCTGCGACATCTGTAACCTAGGAAATCGCTATTGGGCTATAAATAGCGATTTCGTACCCGTACTACGTTATTTTTACAGAAGCTATAAACGTCTTGCAAAAGCCTTCTTCTATAAGCAGAACGAGATTATTATATATGACGAGGAATGGAGTGGACTAGCACTTTGGTAAATGCATGAAAAGTCAAAAAATATATGAAAGTCCAATCAGCCTGCCTTGTAAATAAGAAACTGATAAGCGAAATGTGTCTGGCACCTTCCTCAAGGCAAGAGAAAGTATATTAAGCTTTAGTTACCGATGCCTTTGTCGCGGATACCAGCCTCGTGGTGGACCGCCCATTCTTAGCAGGTCAGCTCCCGTGCACACCCCGGAGGTGCCCATTACAGAGCCTCGACCGTATCCTCCTAATGTCACACTACTCCCTGTAAAAATTAAGAGAAATATTTCCCAAATTCAAATGGCGCTTTTAAACGATACAAATGCTTATCTATCTATTTACTGTGACATAACTTCACTAGTAAAGTTTCTAGAGGGAATAAATTAAGTACCTTAGAAATACTTATTAGAAAAAAGGTTTTTTCTCGGAGATAGTAAACTTTTATCATTGACAGTTACACTAAATCAACATTTATTTAGATCCATCTTAAATAGATGGATCTTGGGTTCGAATCCAATGGAAACAATCTATCGGGGAACCGATAGATTGTTTCTATTGGGCAGGGCATAGAAGTCTAATCAACTACTTGCCTATTAAAATAGATTAGTGAAACGAGATTACATTAACATACATTTACAGTACATTTAAATAAAACACTAACAGTTTAAAACACGATATACATTAGTTAAACTTATTTGGAAATTACTTTAACTACGGCCAGACGTTTCAGATTCTTTACAGTAGCCGTGGTAACGGGGAGACATCAGATTAAAATTATTTTAATAGTTAAAGTAATTTCCAAAAAAGTTTAACTAATGTATATCGCGTTGCAAACCGTTAAAGCTATTTCACTAAATAGTTTAAGACCACATACCGATGGTTTGCATGGAATTCATAGTGTTATTTCTTGGAGGCCCCGTTGAATTTCGCGGTGGTGTACGTGGGACGTCACAGCCGCGAGCAAATACAGGAGTTTCGGGTAAACTCGCCGACGTCTGTAGCTGTCCTCTTCCAGTAGATGCTTCTCGATTTTGTCGCTGCAATGTACGACGGCGAGCGCCACTGGCTCCAGTATCTGGAAATAGATACACGATCACTTTTTTTAATGTAATATATGAGAACAAACAGAATTAGAAAAAACATATCATTTTGCAAGTAAATATTTTTCACAAAAAATTACAAAGAGCCAGTGTAGGGTTCGGATGATGGCAGGTAAAATACCCAGCCATATAACATCCTAACAATAAGGGCTGCCGACCTATTATGGCTTTGGATATTCGGAAATCGACAGACTGGAACCGATACGCGATTAAACTTCGTGACTTTTTCATGGACAGTGAACGGTGGTTTGTCACAAACCACCGTCCACCGTCCATGAAAATTTTGATGTTCCCACCACCTATTTAATATTCGGATTTACAGGAAGTCCAACATGTTTTAGAGAAATTCAAAATATACTTATAAAATAAGTATAGTATTTTTACACATTGTAATCGTTAATTATATATACCTAAATATGGTCACTTAGAGCTGATAAATAGTGGATTTACCTGTAGGTAAGGTTCTTCTGTCAGTAGATCCACTTTTAAAGTTACTGTTTCTCCTATTTTTGTTATAACTGGTTTCCATTGATCTCGTTTTAAGACTGTTTGTTGCATCTCTATGAGGTGGTACCGCTGGGGGTTCAGATGGCCTATAAAGAAACAATAATATTTAAGCTCTAGTTTATTTATATTGATGAAAATTCCAAAACTGTAAATGGAAGTTATAACTTGAGGCCATAGTTTGTACAAATTACCTTCGTCTCGACTCCAACGTCGGAGTTGGTAATGTATCTGCTTTTTTAACGTGACGTCTTTCTGTCGGTTGCATGATTTCTGTGTACTCATCCTCAACCTCTTGTACAGGAGAGGGGGGTAAGGGCGGAAATTTTGGTGACTCCGGTGTCTGGGGTAAAGGGCCCATATCGTGACCCAGATTTGGGGAGGGGGGTAATTGATTATGTCTATAGGAGTGTTCGACTATCTGTACATTTAATGGGAAGTCACCGCCACTAGACACAGCGGAATCTGAAGAAGATGGCTGACGCATTAAGCTTACGGGGACATCCTTCGCGCTCGTTGACTTATGCATGCTATTAGACCGTCGACCTGAAGACCGGTCTCGTCTCTCTATAGACCTCTGATTTTGAATTTCGTTGTGGCTCGATGATTTTTGTATATCATGTCTCTTCTGTCTTTCCCTAGAACTATAACGGAAATTGTTTTCTAATATATCTTTAGATACTTCATCACAGTATTCATCCTTATGGATATTCCAGTCTTTAGGTAAGTAGGGGGTAAAGTGGTCCCGGCCGTGGCTTAATATAGCACTTATATTATTCTCAATTTTTCGAAGCGGCGAAGTCTCACCGCTTGAACCTGGTTCTCCGCTTTCTTGATCCTCTTCTTCTTCTACAGTAGTGATGAGGGCTTGTCGACTCGCACTATTGCTTTCGGATTCCGCCCCTAAGGCCGGTAAAGATATGACGCGTACTATATTCGGTGGAACAGTAGAGAGCTCACTTACAGTCTCGTTACATTCATGTTGTGGTGCTTCTTCTACTTTGCCCTCCTTAATTAATGATTGGATGTTATCAAAGGTGGATGAATACTTTTTGAAATCGGTAAATCTATTTTGTGGTGAAAGTTTATTTTGAGTGACGCTTTTGGATTCTCGTTTATCAGATGGCGTCTTTCTACTTTTAGGACTGTGACCATAATAATCTTGATTAATATATCTATCCTGGCTGTTAGTAAGATCCAAACTTAGTCTCGATTTAGGTGATGTCATCTCTTTACTTAATCTAGAATTCGGTGTACATAAATCTATGCTATATCTTGAATTAGGAGTGTTAAGTTCTCGACTCAACCTAGAGTTTAAGTCGACGCTATATCTAGACTGAGGTAGGCTTAAATCAGAACTCGGTCTAGAATTGTACGATCCAACAGATCCCGAGCCGCTTATGGATATACTTGATCCATCTATCGATTTATCAGTGCTCCTATTTAGACTATGACTCTGTATTAAGTTGCTAGAATTGTTTGCTTTACTGCTGCCATTTTTCGCAAAGGTTGGTAGCTGTTTCCGATTTTTGCCTTTTCTTATAACATATGTTCCACAAGCAAGATCGTGTGATCGTCGAATTTCAGGATCAGTGTCTGATGGTGGGGACGCTTGACTGTCACACTGAGATAGAGATGGAGGTGGGGGCCAATATTCTTCACCCCAGTCGTCATCTAATCTCTGAGGAATGGAACTAGTACTGGAGTGAGATTGGTCGCCTGATTTCCTTCTGCGTCTTCCAATCACCTGCAACGCAGAAAAAATTACATAAGAAAACTATTCAAAATTAGCAAACATCAAGTGTTTCTAGAGGTTATCAGATAGAGCTATATACCTTTGTACTGCCTGGCGTAAGTAGAGGATCGTCACCATCGAGAGACACTTCCCATGCTATGGAATTACGTTTCGAAGGCGTATTAACGGTAGGCGGCGGCGGAGGGAATGACTCTTCCAACGAATCATCCGAGAAATGCTCGTCGTCATTGCTTTTGTTCGAACCTCTTGACTTATAAATCTCCATTATATCCTCCGAAGATCCTCTACACACTTCTCTATGTCGCTCCATAGAACCGGCGAGAGTCCGCGGAGGTATTCTTGTTTTCGGCGACAAAATTTCATCGTCCGATCTGCTATCGCGCTTGGAGGTATTTTTCTTATCTACAGTTTTTATATTGGACGGTGAAATTTTGTAAGTAGGTGACTGTGACTGTCTACTATATTGTTTATTAGGTCCCGGGTAGATAGTGACTGGGTGTTCGTTATACGGCTTATCATTAAAATCACTCGAAAAACCCATAAACGGAAACATTGGTGGGTTTTCAAGACTAGGTGACTTGACAGCTAGTGGAGGCACACCGTGTCTTGGAGGTAACCACGACGGCGTACCATCAGGCTGTGGCGGTCTCGTGCCGTGTTGAAGAGAACTAAACTTAAACGGTGGCGCAGGCGGTTGACAAAATTGGATATTATTTGAGTCAATATCCTTTTCCCATCCATAAGGTCGTTGATGCCTCGTTTTTGGCTAAAAACAGAAATGTTTTTGAGATAAGAAAGAATATAAAATAATAGTAATAACAAGCAAAGTGCTTATACATACAAATGTTGTTTGCGTTGCAGTAGTGATGCCATTGACACTAATAATAGAATCGAGTTTGTCTTCAGCATCTCGCCGCTCTATTGAAATTGTGCGTTTAGCAGAGTTGGCTGGGGAAACTCTGAAAAGTTAAACGTATTTATCAATGTATATACGCGCGCGAGACGCGAGATTTCTATACAGTTAGTATATGTCGAATTAGCTTAGCGATGTTTTTATTTCTGTACTGTTCTTGTACTAATAAATTGTGTAAGGCTTTCACGACCATAGTTCAGCATATCTATGTTCGACGTAAGCGAGAAGAGGTGGTGATGGCGAAACGTCGAGAACCTCTTCTCGCTTACGTTAGCCGAACAGCCCGACAAACAATTTTATGTATGTTCTAGTACTTTTGGTAACAGTCTGTATAAAGATTTTTCAAACTTGGTACCTACTTTGGCAATAGTGTAGAAATAATTCTTTCGGCTTCTTCAGGCGGTGGGGGTGAATGAGGCGAAACCAGGTCTGGAGGGGAAGGCTCTTCGCGCTCCTCTGTCGGTCGAAAGCCCAGTGCGAATTTCGCTCTGAAATGCAACACAAATTGGAATTAGGCAAATAAAAAAATATGATAAGAAAAATATATATCTGAAGTGTCCGTAAACTGAAATTATTTAATTTAAGAGTAATGCCTATATTTGAATGAATATGTACGAACGAATACTGCAATTTTCTTTTGCTCTTTTAATGAAAAAAAATTGATAACGATTAATTTTATATTTAATTTAATTTTTTTTTAGTTATCGTTTTATTTACTCAGTATCATTTTTATGTATTATATAGCGACCTCCAGGACCCGGTTCGATGTTCATGCTTCCTAAGAACATAACAATATAAATGCGTGCCTTAAAATTTTTATAGTATAAACCAATCTAAATGACAAACCCTGTTTCTGAATATTCGAAAACTTTATTTATTATATTAAAAATCTATTTAGATTGAAAAAAATACGACTCGGGTGAAACTTGAACCGGCATCCACAGCGTTCTGTGCAGCTGCTATAACCAATTGAGATACCGTCAGCGTCGATTTATGTAACCTATTGATACATGCACTTCTCGTGCAATGCAACTTCAAGCTTAACATCTATGTATTAAAGTTCTAAATCTCATGCGCTACATCTAAGGAAATAATTGAAGATTAATCTACAGAGTTTAACGTTCACAAACTTTATTTATTACCAGTAACTAGCCAGTAAGAAAGTAAATACATACCTCCGTCCGTTCATGCTCATGTATCCATCGTCCTCGGACGTATGTCCGGCGAGTGGCGAGTCGTCGTCGGTGGCCGGCGTGGCTGGGGTGGCCGGCGTCGCGGCGGTGGCGCTGGCTCGTGCCTCCAGCGACCGCGGCTCGCCCTCGTCGTACTCGCTCAGCACTTGGTCTAACAACTCCAGAGAACGCTGCACGTCATCGCACCCTCTGAAAATGATTATCGAAAGTGTTGAAAATCTTATACACAAATCAATTAAATTATATCATCGGTTTTAACTCGTACAGATCATACAATTAAATTTTTAATTTCTTATAAAGAAATAAACATCTATAAACAAGCATTGGTTGTATTTTTTTTGATAGAGGAGGACAGATCAGCGTCCCCAGCGTACCCATTAACTTCCTAATAAGATGCGCAATGTAGCTTTGGATATTAGGAAATCCACAGACTAAAACTGAAATGCGATTAACCTTCTCGGCTTTTCCATCTGTGGAAGGTTCGTGACCCGGACGGAATTTCGATATTCCTACCACCCATTTAATAAAATTGTAAGTTAGAGGATGTAACAAATAAAAACGATAATTCAAATCAACACACAACTAGTTAACGAATTGCCAGCCGTAAGCAGCAAATTCTCCGAGATAATGCTAAATTAGTCTCATTTCCTTCAAACGCTTACTGGATTTGACCCCAGAACGCTAACTGCTCCATTAGAGCTGAATTAGAAGATAATGATGGAGGCTGCGCCCGTAAGTTGTAGCGACGTCAGATTTTTTTATATCAAGCAACAAGGTGAACATTTTTGACAATTGCCAATAGCATCCCTATTGTCAATTGTCAAAAGTGTATAATATAAAATCGCTCGTATTATTTTACAGCAGGTGAGATTGAAACTTGATAAATGAAATACTTTTATATGCTTAATAAAGACTACATCATTCAAATTTTCTGATTGAATGATCGAAAAATTGGTTGGTTTTATGTTTCATTTTTATTTATATTAAAGCTATTTAAAATTTATTAATTTTAAAATGTATCTGTAATATTTTATTTAGATATAATTAGATACTAATTATGAAATACTGATTACTGTGCAAAGAAAATAATTGAAAATTTTGCAAAAAAACAGTTACACTCGATTCACCTTTTAACAATGATTTTACTATACTTAACTGTTTGGTTAATTATTATCTAAGACCGATAAACTAAGAAGCCCCTACTTAAGAGGATGTCATCTGGGTGGTAGTTTATCCAGATTTATTCACCTGGTGATCTTTGATAAGTCGCACCCGTTTTGCTAACAGATCTTTCCAGCGATCGAGTGGTTCATTAGAGCTAGCTCCACTAATGATCTCAGCTGTTTTCAAGTACGCTTCTCTCGCAGACAACAGATCATTTTTACTAATTCCAGTAGGCGCACTTTAAACCGTATTTTTACGCGGACAATAAGGAACGCGTACTATGTATGTATTCATAGTCTGGCTAATTTCGTATGCACAGTGCTTATCAGTAAAATGAAAAAACTACAACTTCACAACGAGAAAATAAACAGTGCAGCGAAATTGTTCTTTGTCTGCTTTGAGTAGGTTATGTCAAATGTTAAAAGCGACCCTTAGGTAACACTGCATATGGGGATGAATTTCAAAAGTACGGAATTAAAAGCAAATAGAGGCTATGAAATGAAAGTGTACATGAAATGAAATGTCAAAGAGATAGTATTTTCATGAAGCGTGTAAGAGTAAGCCGTATCAGGGAAAGGTGGGGGAAGGCTCAGTTATGCACAGTAGGTTTAATGTATTGAGCAGTATTACCGGGTCAAAAAATGCTCCAATTGCCTTGTATTATTTTTTTTTATTTTACTTGGATTACAGGACGATAGTACTTACTATTAGTGTTTAGAATACTTTGTTATGGTTGTCTACTCTAGAAATGTTTCTTCTTAGTGATGCTGCGTTTATGAATTTAGGAATATGTATTTGAAAAAAACAGCTGATATTACTTTAGTTTATTTTTTTAATTGGCAAACGACATGACTGATATTTCCAAGTTCTCAAGTGAGAATTAGTTTTTTTCAGACGAGTTTATTGATATCGTCATGACTGCATACATCATACTGTGGCGAAGGTATGCTGGCGTGTGTATCGCCTATTACATTGTACCGGCCTGCCTCAAAGCAGAGCACTCAGAGTGAGTGCCGCGGCGCGCGCCTGCCTTTGTTTTATTTCACCCACACTCCTTCACTTTCGAAACTTTTAAGAGCGACTTTAAATTGCGTTCCTTGTTTTAACTCGCTGATTAGTTGCTACATGAAGTCGGCTAAAGGTTTTCATTTAAGTAACAACAGCAGACGTGACGAAGCGTTGTTTGAAATGGAATCATTTTCCGTTTTACTAAAGTTGCTACCATTTTTAAAACTATTACGAGTAGACTAGAAACAGGTTTATCTTATTTGCGTATATTGAATAGTCTGTTTACTATTATATCTTGTAAGGACCATTTTTAATATTGAAATATGATAATTATAAAGTATTAAAAAAACATTATTTCGATGTTACGTTTGTGGTTATGTGCTGAAGGCCTATTGATAGAGAACGCTACGTAGGCCTTGTTTATGCGGAAATGAGTGCAGCAAGGCGGAAGTGTAAAGCGCCCCCCTTGGCACCCTACCCCCGGCCGTCGACCCGCAACGTTGTACGCGCCGCAACAGCCTGAATTGCGTCTTCGTACCCTCCTACAGTTCAGGGAACTTCTAGTAGAAAATTTATCCGTTTTAGGTAGCCTTAATGGAACAGAGAAGGTCGCGGATATTTCTATGCAACTTATAACTTCGCAGGCAACTGCTAAGTTATAAACCGTATTTAATACATTCACATAAAACACTTTAACGGTTTAAAACGCGTAATATTTGGTGAAATTATTTAAAAATTATTTTACCTACGTCCCTACGTTTTGGATGCTTCCAGCAGCCGTGGTCACGGGGAGACATTTAATGCTGTATAGCTAAATAATTAAAACGAAAATCACTAATGTGAATTAAAACTAAGTAAGTATATTAACGACTTGAAATTCGATTATAGTTAAGTTAATATATTAAACTAGAAAACGCCGTTTCGATTGCTTTTTAGTAATTATGGTAACGGGTTTCCCGGGCAAATTTTTACCAGTACTCGCCAACTAATATTTCTAGGAACTAAAAAACTTTTTCCAAGTACGCAGGCCTCCCGGGTTTTGATCTAAGTACTGTTCCATCCACGATTCTATCCAGATGTCAGAGCTACGTTGAGTCTGTTTTAATGAATTGGACAAAATAGTCGTCGTTAAGGCTGTCGTGAAACTCATTCATTCGGAGAATTAATAGAAATTAATTACGGAAGAATTTCATGACTGTTGAAAAGAGAACTGTGTAATCGTAAGTACCTAGTTGGCAAAACATCCACGATCAATCAGTGAATGATTGCGTCGGCGTCGCATGGTATGGATTTAAAAAGCCTCTTGAGGTTTGTTTGTTTCCTTGTATGTACATATGCTGGATGAATGCACTCCTGTATAGGTAGCTACGATTAGCTGGATTGAAGTGTTAAGGCGTAAATTAAAATGAATATCTAAACGGTGACGATGAATTTAATAATAAAATCAACAAAGGTTTTCAAACTTTTTAAATTACCTAGTTGAAGTATCAAAGTATGTTAATAGAGAACTAAGGGAGTTTTATAAAACTTAAATTCTTAGAAAAAAAATGCCACCCCTTATTTCATTTTGGAGAAGAACACATGCCTCATAAGATCCACTTTTCTTTAACGCTGTTGAAGATACCTAGGTTTATTTCCGCCGTGCCTACGCGTTTTATGATACATAGTTCTATCTTCAGTAATTTTTACCGAAACGTATAAATCCGTGTTGTTTTTAAATGTGTAAAATAAACTGAGTTTAATATTAGCGTTGTAATTATGATTGATATCTATTTCTTTATTATGTTGTTAAAATTGCTGTATCTCGGGATTTGTAGTTGTATAGATGACACAAATTACATATAAACTAAATTACATGTATGGCTTTGATTGTTGTCGAAAGGCTTAAGATCAGCCAGCCAGACGTGCCAAATCTATTCTTCAGCCACTAGACGTTTACCAAAGTCTTATCGGTCCATGGAAAGTTAAAGGACACGCCAATAAGCGACGCGAGTCTAACAACACTTCACTTTATTTATTTTATAAGAAAACGTAACCCTCAGACCATGGAATAGGGTTGATAATTCAAGTCAACCCCCATTATTATCGGCTGCAGCAGTTTAAAGCAATTTTGAAAGTCAATATTGAACTTCTCTACTCAAAGAACCGATGTGTCCCATTGAAATAAATCAGCTTTAGGATTACTTGACAAGTTTTGAGGCTTGATACTTGAGGGTACAATGTTAATACAGTATTATATACGATCTTAGTGTAATGGTTAAAAAAATGTAAATTAAATGGCTAATTAAAGCAGCACACACTCTTTTTATACCTATGTGTTTTAAAGAGAGCTTCGGTTAAAAAGCTTTAGAATTTCTCCACTCAATCTATTACATGGCGTTAAATGCAGGGGGGCTTGGGTTCGAATGCCGGAGAAACATTATACTTTGATGGGCAGGGCCACAAAAGTCTAATCAACACTTGCTTGTGGACAAATTCAATTAGTACAACACAAAACATACGCAACACGTTTTAAGGCATAGGGCGGAATTCTTATACCATACGTTACTTCGCTTTAACGACTGTATTTCAAATACAAAAAGCTTTGGGTGTGTAAAGAGGAATATAAATCGTAAAAAAGTAATGTCAGACGACCGTAGATTTGTGGTGTTAATTAGCAAAGGGATTTCATGTCAAGAAAGTGGTCAATATTTTATGAATAAAATTAACTTTGAGAAATAAAATATATCGAATAAACATCATCATAAATTCTTTAATTTAATTAATTTTGACAATAAATTACAACCATTTATCTATAACAAAAACACAAAAATATAAATTTACTTTATTAGTAATACTGGCTGTTTTTGTACCTTTGCCTAAAAAAAACGTTGATGCGTGCGCATCGCTTATATTTTGTGAACAAGAAAAAAATTTTATAACCGCTTTAACAATTAATTAAAGATTTATTCAGTTAACTAAGTTAGAGTTTTATTAATTTCCTCGTAAATATGTTATTAAACGTCGTATGACATACG